AACAATGTTAACCTGACTGTGTAAAATGTTTTAGTACAGAAACATTAGAATGACAGACAGTAATGTAGTTGTAGGTCGACTAGTTTACGTCCAGATCACTTTCCGGTTGGGTGTGGATGTTTTTATAGTCGAAAGTGAAAGTAAATGTGTGTCTTTCCCCGCTCCGTTCGTCGGTGATAGATGTACTGTACTCTTCACGAAGTACAATACGATGGCGTCCCATTCAAATACGTTGACATTTTATCTTTTCTTCGTCCTATTCTGTGATGTTTCACAGTAAGTACACCCGAACTTTACGCTGAAACTGAGAGGAAGTTAACTGTCGCAGCTAAAAATGTGAAATTTAGGAGCAACACTACTAAAGTCGACGCTAGCCTGTGATCTGTTAGCATTGAAGGTGTATACAGCTGTGCTATTAGATTAGAAATCAGTGTTGGTCACAAACTTTCTGTCACCATATTACAGAAACATTTTATACAAAGTGTGTTTTAAAAACTTTCGATAGGTGACATCAGTGAAAGGTATCATAGAGCGACAACTGTAAAGTGTTCATAGCGAAATTGGGGCAAAACAAAGCGCAAAGTATTGTTAACAAGTTTTAATCCAAAAAGTAAAAAACATGCGCGAATCGCACGGGTGATCCCAAACGGAGATGTTGGTAGAGCAAGATGTGTGGTACACACGTGTTCTGATTTAATGTACTTTCATACGTAATATATCGTTTCTATCACCAAGGAAAAATAGTTTGGTGAAAATTTGTTTTCAGTGGAACGCGAACCTTTACATACAGTACATCATGAGAGAGGGCTTCTTTACCTCAGTATTTATTTTAAATGAAACAATCAAATTATTCCCAAACTGATTTCCATCTCTTTCTATTACCATATTTATCACAGTCAAGCTTTTATACCTAGTGATGAACTGTTTGGAAAGTTTAATGATATTTCACAGGTTATATTGCTAAACTCTTACCTTTCAAATTACTGTTTCTAAACAATAACTAAAATCACTATAAATACAATTTAAAATTGAGCACTAGGTAGCATTCTATATACTTTGGTCAGAGCATTTTAATTGGTCAAATGCAAGTTATCTTTGCTAGCAATTGCTCTTCTTTTTTTAAACTAACTGTTGTTTGTTTTCATTTAACCCTCAGAGTTTATTCATCTACCTCGTTCCCAGATGGAACAAGAGTCACTTGGCATTCAGTTAAAGGATTATTCCGCCATAGAAGACAGTTGTGTCAAGATGGCACCTACGATCATGAAGGCAACACCTGTTGTTTATGCAGCGCAGGTAAATTCTTCAAGAATCATTTCTCTAATTTTTACCTTAGTCATTATCATGAAGGTTACTTTAGCTGATTTGCACATTTTCTTCTATAGGCCAACGTGTGGAAACTCACTGCACAAAATCAAATGAGGGAAAATGCGAGCTCTGTGAAGGTGGGACGTATAGCAATGCTCCTAATTCCCAACAAACCTGTGAGCCCTGCAGATCCTGTGACCATCCAAATGGTGTGCATACAAATTCACTTACTAAACCAGCTAAATATGAAATTAATAATTTATATACAAGACATTTGAGTGAGTTGCTTTTGAGGTAAAGGGTTCTGGAAAATAAAACGAATGAACATATGGTACCTTTTTAACTTTATTAATTAACTTAATGAATCTGTGTTTTTTGTTGGAATTAAATAAGGTATCATTTAATCATCAATTACTAATGTTACATATTACACCTTTCTTTTATATATTTTCAGGTTTTAACAAAATAATTACAATTTGACGTCATTGTAAAACACTTCTTTCTATTATTTCGACAACTAATTTAAACAAATAGGTTACATCTTCTTTGTAAAGAGCTTTCTTGATGTCATGTTTGACTGCTACGGATCATTGATTCAAATTGCCAAATTTATATAACTGTAAAGATAACTTTAAAATGGGAAATTTTATTTAAGTTTTTTATATGTAGTTATATTTTGTTCAGGTAACAAGGAAGTGAAGAAAGTAGTCCTGTCTTTATCTGGGACAAGATTATCAATTTTACACTATTTGCTGAAATAAAAATCAAGAAGTAATAATTTTAACTGATAGGATTATTACTGACACAAATTGTGTTCTGATGCAACCCATCCTAGGGTTGGGAACAAGGTGGAATCTAACCCAGAACCTTGTGTGTGGTGGGTAGGAATCCTACCACTGCACTATTGTAGCTCTACGACCATTAAGATACTGTGTCAATATAACATGTTGGTTTTACCAAAACACTTGCTGTTGTTAAATAAAAAAATGTTGGTGGTTTGACTTTTAATATTTCTCTAATACCACTCTTTATGTATGGTATACATTAGCTAACCAGGAAGTGGAAGAAACCTGTACCCCTGCCAGAAACACAAAATGCCGTTGTAAGAAAGGTCACTTTTGCAGCGACAACATAGAAAGATGTAAAATCTGTCATCCTTGTCAAGAGTAAGTACTGTTTTTGGCTTTCTAATGGTGATATAATTCTGTCATTCTAATCACCTTTGTTTGTTTCCCTTCTTTTTTTTCTTAATGTGATTCAAGGTGTGGCGCTGAGGGTGTCCAGGTTCCCTGTACAGCCACCAACGACACTATCTGCTATCAGAGAAGTGAAGGTACTGTTCAAGAACAGCAGCAACACTTGTAGTTAGTAAAATTCATCACCTAATTATCATATTTCTTTATCTGGTGTTTCAGGGGGAAACGGTGTAGCAATTGCTGTAACGATAATAATCTTAGTTTTGCTCGGTTTCGTGGCAGCGGCTGTCTGCTGGAAAAAGAAAATTTTGTGTGAGTATTTGCTTTTTTTCAAACCATACGCAGCATAATGTCACTAGCAGAAGGCAACAATTGTCTGCACACTGTGCTGTTCAGCTGTAGTATAAGATTGTTGCCTGAGTCTGACATGTCTATGAAAGGGCAGAAATAAATGCATTGTAGAATTACTGTAATAGCACAGCAGTAAGACCAAAAGCCCACATTAAAATTTGTTTGTAACGTGTGTTTCTTGTAGGTTTCAAACGTCAGGTCACGGCCCAGGAAAATGGATCTGCCGGTGAACATGTGAGTCACGTTTACCCATTTGTCATGTTTACTCTTTGTCCTATTTATCACTGCTTTAACTTGTTGTTTTAAACATGGACATTATTTACATTGTTTTTCTTCTAATGCTGGCACTCGTAGCTACCACTTGGTGAGTCTTCAGGTTAGTCATCTGAAATATATAGAACATGTAACGTGTTGTTTCTTTGAGTGTGTTGTGATTGGACAAGTAGAAGTGTTTGTAAAGCTTCTGTGAGCAGTTGAAATATATAATATACATTTTTAAATTTTAAAATTGAAAAGGTACACTAACATTCTTTCTGCTTCTTTTCAGGAGCTGCATCTTCTTAGAGGTAAGAAGAAAAAACGCAGTCTAGTTTTTATTGAAAACAAACTGTACAGTAATAAAAGTTCAATTGTTAGATGTCCTTGTGTTGATTAAGTATCTAATTGGCTACGGGTACAGAAACAACACATTGGGTGTAGAAATATTGAAAATGTAAAACTTTGTAAAGAGTTTTAATGTTTCTTTATTCATCCTTAAAAAGGTACAGCACAGGGGACACCAACTATATTTGTCTGAGGGCAAGAGTCAGAGTTTTCTGGACAGACAGCATGGGGACCAGACACTCAAAACAATTAAATAATTATTTAATGTTTATTATTTCTATATTTTTAATTTATTTACCTTTTATTACAACACTACATGGACTTTTAGATTAATTTGTAGGGACCACATAATATTTTCTCTTTGATCCTAATAATTTTGGAATCCAGTCATGGCCCGCATTGGATGGTTTGGTGGGCCGGATTTGGTCAATGGACCGCCAGTTGATTGTCACTGTATAAAATAATATTTTTATTTTTACATCGTCCTATATGCCACCCATAATAGAAGACACTGAAGAGTTGGGACATGAACATTTTCTGTTTTTTATTTGTAATCTTCTCTAAATCCCATTCATTTCAGATATTGAGCCACACCTGACTGAACTTGCCGGCATCCTGGGATGGAAGGATATGAGAACTGTAGCGATACGTAGTGGCATGTCAGCAACTGTGGTTGACAATTGTGAACAGAGCCACCCGGGTGACAAAGAGGAGCAGACTTTCTTGTTGCTTAGAAAATTTGTGGAGAAGGAGGGAAGAGCCGCTTCAGAGAACTTGATTAGAATCCTGCGACAGAAAGGCAAAAAAGACAAAGCAGAGAAAGTGTCCAGATTATTGAATGATGCCAATGCTGTTGCCAGTGCACCTGCTGTTTAAGACCCATGAGTTTGTTTGACTCAATGCTTACATCATACTCTTAATCTGAAATTGTGTTCTTCTTTATTGAGGATGGCAACCGACATTTGGGTTCTGTCAATATCTCTGAAGAATGTTGTGATGTTGAACTGCCTTCGGCCTAAAGGTGTTGGTTAAGAGGTCAGTCTTAAGATTGGAGACTTGCTGGTTCAAATCCCAGCAGGACTTTGGTTTGTTGTTCAGTGAGCGCTGTACACTCACAAATGTTATGTGCAATGAAAAGTAAAGCTGCCTTTTCTTTTTCAATGTTAAAAAAAAGATATAGCTGAAAATGAGGGAAAGTCTAGACCAGGTGTCACCAACCTTTTTGAAACTACTGAAGAGCTACTTCAAGGGTATAAGGGAATTTATACAAAGAGGTACTTGTTTGGTACAGACTTCCCAAACAGTACAGTAATATTAATCAATAAGAAAACTGTTTCATCAAGTTCTGAGACATACGATAGCACCCGTTTGACTATCAACTATCAAACTATCCTGGGCACCATGTTGGTATAAAGAATGTGAAATGAATAACTGCTTAAGACTGCCTGACACTTTAAATATAGAACAAACTGAAGTAAAAGGAGTTTAGAACAAGTTGCTGCAATTGGGTTTCAATAAAAGTTCTGAGTACTGAGTAATAAGAGTACTGAGGCATCTGACTGGTCATCACTAGTATCAGTCGGTTGATGTAGAACAGGCGAACTTTTTGACTCGCGGGCCACAATTGTACCTAAAATTGAACAGGAGGGCCGGGTCAGGAGCAGATAGATGGAGAATTCATGTGAACTAAGATAAATGACATGTAAAAGTCATGCATAAAGGCTAAAATGCTATTATTTCCATCTAGTGGGGAAATGTGGGTATTGCAGGCAATAGAAGTATAATGATAATATAAATAAATTATATCATTTGGGAAAGCTTGGCGGGCCGGATTAAAAAGCTGAACGGGCCGCATCCGGCCCCCGGGCCTTAGTTTGCCCATGCCTGATGTAGAACGACCTATACATATGGTGTTCAATTGAAAACTTAGTTAATACTCAGGCATTACTGTATTGTGAATGAACAGAGTGGAAATAGGAATTTGAAAGTCAAGCATCTGTATCGATATGATTACAAACAAATAAACAATTGGAAAGTTTTTAATTTGAAAGCACACAAAACGAGAGCCTACCTTAAGTTTGTATTGAAGCAGTTGTATTTTTATTTTATTTTTTTCTGTTTTTGTTATTTAGTACTTTTTACACTCTTTTGCCTGGCCTTAGCTTCCTGATGTTTACATTTTATAAGTTGACAATATACTTCTGCTCCACAGTGGGTCTTAAAGTATCACGATTTCAATACTACTACTATTACTACTACTGTATGGCCTGTACACATAGCAAAATTGACTATAAAGAGATTTTAACTTAAACACTTTATTTATCATGTTGCCATTTGCTGTATATGTAACACAAACAAGTAGTAAGACATTTCAGGGATCCCCTCCGTGTTGCTGTATTCAAGTTGTACGTGTTTTGATACAATGCACCATATATTATAATAATCAACTATTGGCGATCTTGCAGAGCTTAATTGTTTCTATTTAGCAGTATGTCAAATGATATACTGTATGACGTTTTTGATAACTTGTTGTCAAATTAGTTCTCTCAATTAGAAGCTAACGGTTAAAACAACTGAAACTGCCTGACAGTCTTAAAACCCCAAATATTGTAAGCAGGGCGGGAAGTGTCTGTATGGGAGGAGCACACAGTCAGGAAATGTGTGAAAAAATGGTCAGTTAAGCTGTTCCCTCCTTGTTCTCACGAGTTTGAGGATGTAGAGGCTGCTTTTATACCTAAGACCTCGCCATATCACGTATATTGTCATGAACTCCGCCAGGACGTTAAAGTGAGTAAATGTTCCTTTGTCTTTTAATACCAAGTCTTTTATAACCGAGCATGTCTGTACAAACACACCGACTTAGAACTGTTCGACATGTGAGAATGTTTTGACGAATTATGTAATCCTGTCATATACTAACAGCAGTAGTACCGAGGTTTTTTGGGTGTTTTTGACAGGCAGCAACGAACGTATCCGGTGAACAGTTGACAGAGAGTGTGTTCAGGAAGAGTAAAGAGTGATGGGCGGCCGCTAACTGTTTCTGTTTCTAAGTAAACTGAGACACAGGCAACCACTGGCAGTGAGTCCACACTGCATCACTAAGCAGTGTTGTCACTGTGACGCAGTGACTATGTTCACTCATTCCGTTACGCCCTGTGACTGCATGAACTCAACACAGTCCGTTCGACTGTTGTAATACAGAGCATAGTGGTTTCATTTAGGAATTAAGCACTTTCAACAGCCGAGGTGCGTTTAACAGTCCGTTCTACAATGGGAGTGAACAGTTGTTTGCAACAGGTTTCACAAACTCTGAGCAACTTGTTCATTTATACGTTATTTATACATACATATGGCTACATGGTGAGGAATGGTTTTTGCTCTTGCCTACAGCAGTGGTTTCAAACTCAAATCAGATGAAATGTTTTGGGGGTTTTTTATCACTAGAAATACTGTGAAATACCATGGTGCAAATGAGTACATAAACAACTATTTTGAAAAAGTATAAAGTAAAAAAAAAAAATCAAGTTGTGGGCCAGATGTGGATAGTTCATGGTCAGTAAATGGCACCCAGGCCAGGAGTTTTACAGCAAGAATATTTCCTGTTCCATTTGCATTGGTAACTGACGCTGTTTCATGGAAATTGCACGTTAGTATGGGGTTTTCCAGATGTCTTCCAATTTTCTCACACAGTCCAAAGGACTAATTTGACTAAATTGACCCAGGTATGACCAGGTTTGAGCATTACCTGTTGTTACTAATGACTGTCTTGACTGCCCCTGGTTACCTGATGGTGGCAGCTGGGATTAGCTCCAGAATGTTCAAGAGAGATCCTAGCCAGAGCAGCCCCAGAGAACTCTGGTCTGTGCCATGTGAGAGTTGGAAAACATGTCAGTAAACAGCTCAAAGGAAGATTTACACTCTCTGCAGTGTCACACACTCCATTACTGCTCTGCTGTTACTGAGTGTATTTCAATTTCTCCTTTACAGTAGTCCGGATTTGTTTTCACTTAAAAAAAATCAAAACTGGTCAAACAACTACCTCACTCAAGGAGCTGGAGGCCTAACAAGCAGTCGTTCACATCCAACAATATGTTCCTGTGTCAAAGAATGGAAGATGAACTTAAAAAAAATTATGTCAACAATTTCAACAAAATTGTGTTCCCAGAAAACCTTTCAAAGTCAGGGTTCTTTTTTTGATTTTAGTTTTTAGTATTTTTAAGTATCGTTTTTACTTTTAATGAGCCCTGTACTTTTTTATTCTTAATGTCTTGTAATTGGGAAAAAATCTTGCTCACTTAAAAAGTGTAGTCAAAACTAACCAAACCTGACTACCACATTAACTGACTAACTACAATACTCAGTCAGTGTCCAGAGCAGTTTTGGTGGCAATTCATTCTACCCTGAAGAAAACATTTCATAAGTGGGTAATTCCCTCCTTTGTACAACATATTGCAGTCCTTGTTTGTTATCTGAGGGCATACAGGAAAGAAGAGAATAACGGTAGTAAAGTAATATAATAATAATATATCTTTAGAGTTGTTTTTCCATTTACTTGGAAGCTAAATTGTTTTCTCAAAATGCTACACTTATATCTGCATTAAAATATTTGTTTCTGTTCCAGGATCTGATCCTAAAGCTGCCTGGTTATCTGTGGGGCACTGAAGTATGAAAGGTGAAAAGTAGCTGAAGATGCAGGGGGCCATTGCACGAGTGTGTGTGGTGGTGGCTGCTGCCATATTGAATCATCCCTTGCTCTTTCCTCAAGAGAACACCACACTCCCAGAGCAGGATGAGGAGCTGATTGCTCGCATGCGTGAGCATGAGGAGAGGATGGTAGAGGAGCAGGCCAGGCTGGAGAGAGAACTATCAAAACAAGAGGAGACCAGTCCTGAGAAAGGGTACACGTGGAGCTTTTGGAGCACTGTTTCGTTCATCGTCTTCCTTATCGTCGAGATGTGCAGGTTGGGACTAACTGATGCAGAAATCAGGACATCTGAGGAGGAAGACTTGTTCTTACAGAGCGGCCAAATTAGCCCCAGGGCTATGGTACTGGATAAGGAAGTTCTCAGCAACTTCTGTGATAAATGCAGCTACACGTTAGCCCATGACAACTGGAAGGTCCGGGAGTTCGTTGAAGGTTTAACAGATGACTTACTGGATTCACTCAGAATTGTATGTAACAAGGAGACGGACATGGAAGTAGGAGACTTTATTGGCGTTGGGAGCATGTTTGAGTCTTGGAAAGTTTGCAAGCCCCTCATCTGTGATGTTTTGGTGCCCATTTTGCCTCCATATCCATATTCCTTCCAGTTCCACCTGTGGTGCAGCTCCAGCAGTGACATACCCCCAAACCTGCAAGGCTGTGGAAAGATAAAGGTAATCAAGTTGGGGGAGAGTGAGGAGAGCTGTGCTTGTAGCTCTGCTAACCTCGGTGAGGACGTGCTCTGTCTGTTACACGGCAAGAACGAAACCATGGATAATGGTCCTAATGAGCTGTTGCAGGGTGTGACCAGGGACAAACCTTTCTTAACCAAAGATAAAGTGATGAAGTGGTTTCAGATCTCTGTAACCAAAGCCTGGGGACGCATCTCACACAAATATGATTTTGAGGTCAGCTTTCGCAGCTTGGATGCTGCAGGTGCTCTCAAGATCCGATTCCGCTCAGGGAAAGTCATTGTTCTGAACATTATACCAGTGGTCCAGCTGGAGGACACAGACACTTATTATGTCTCACACTTTCCACTAGGTCTTCAGAGTTGTGAGGATCCACACTGGTCCCTCTCCTTTGCTGTGTATGAGAGGAATTTGCTTCAACATTTCTCCAAACGACTACCAAAAAATTCCTGTCACTTTCACTGTCTTCAGATAGTTACTTTCCTACACAGAAAGCAGACAGGCCTCACAGGGAAGAGTGGCCTCTCCAGCTACCACCTGAAGACTGCTGTGCTGCATGTGTTGCTGAGTAAAAAGCCCTCAGCCTGGGTTGCAGAGAGTACAGACCAGAGGCTTCGGGACGTGCTCAGCTTCTTGCACGGCAGCCTGCAGGAGAAGAGGCTTTACCATGCTCTGGTTGGGAATAAAAAAGTGCCAGAGGAAGTCTGCGTGCCTCAGATCTTTCGAAAAGCAGAGCCTATTAATCTGTTTAGACCTCTGGTGTTGGACAGAGCGCTTTATGCAGCAACAGTCAGGCATTTTCAGGAGATGTTGAGAAATGCACATGTGCTTTTACAGGAGTACACGCCTTACTTATCAAATGGAGGAGTGCACCAAAGCCTAAACGACCATTTGTGAATGCTAATAATATAGACAAACACAAAATAATTTCAGTTGCCTTCAGCAGTGCTTCACGCAAAAGTCACGCATAAGCCGGTGTTGTATTACAGCTGCTGAATATGATTAATGTATGTTCCTGCTAATACACTGCAATTTTTTTGGCTTACCTTTTATTAGGAGTTGTTCACATAGTGACTTCTCAGATGTCTTTCTTGACTCATCCTGACCTGGGCTTGGGGATTAGGTGAAATCAAACCCAGAAATTTGTGCATGAAGTACGCACGCTCATCTACCTCTTAAATGTAGAGTTGTATACAGTTAAGTATTATTCCTCATTGACAAAACAAGGTTGTGGCTTTGAAAAGCTGCTGCGATTCCTTTCTCAGCATTTTGACTTCTGCATCTATTTACACTGGACGCATCACTAGAGCATCCTAGTTGCACAGCTGCAGCTTTTTCTTTGTTTCTACTGTACATTGTCGTACGTATTAATATAAGATCTTATGATTGACCTTATCAACCCCATCTATTGGGTTGTCGTGGTTCCTGAACCCCTGACCTAGAGATATTAAGAGATGTTTAAACTGTTTCCTTACGAGTTCCACTTTGTTAATTGGGAAATTAAATTTCTGAAATCAACTACACAATATATTTAAAAAAAATAATAATTCTTTGACACATTGACTTTATTTTTTTTTCTGATATCACATTTTACACATTGACATTGTTTTTTTATTTTTTTTTCTGATATCACATTTTAGTGACCATTAATAGCAAATTCCTCACCTTCAATCATACACAACAGCACAATCATCGTAACCACATAAAAATGGACGGTCAGGTTTTCCAAAGTCGTCTAAAGGCCGTAGTCATAGTTGGGTGTCCCCTCTGAGTAAGTCTTGTAAAAGGCTTTGTAGGTCTCCAAACTGTGCGTGGTGTTTTTGACAGTTGAGTCCTCAGACATGTTCTCCGTCCACTTTTTCAGCTCAGGCATGTCATTAAGACAACTGAAAAGACAAAGACAAACAATTCTGTAGTCAACACCTGAAAGTTATTACTTTTATGTCTTGTGTATTTGTACCTATCAATTTTTATATTCATATTGAAATGGTACCTTAATAAAGTAAAGATTTGTACATATCTTTATACATAAATGTATTAAGGACATCTTAAAATGGAACATCTTTGCTTAAAAACCCTGTTGTTTTACCATTGTCCTGAGGTTTGGGAAACCCTAGTGTGTTGTGTCAATATATGAACCTCATGTGTTAGAGATTATTACTTACTGTTGTAAATCAAAGACATTCAGCCTCTCAAAAAATGGCCACATCATGTAGTCGATCATTGTTATGGAGTCGCCGCCAAAGAACTTTGTCTTCTTTTTAACCAAGTCCTTAACAATATAAAGATTATATTAATCATAGTATGATAACTTTGATGCCGAACTCAAACACTGGTGAAATACTTGCAACGTACCTCATTAAACTTTGCCAGAGTCTGAGTCAGTTCAACTTCCAGTCCTGAGACATCCTCTCCATTTTTTCTCCCAAATTGGATCTTTCGCACGTATGGCATCACCTGCAGGACACAGTTGCAACTATTTAACAGTTTGTAGATTAGTAGATCAGAGCCTAATACAAGTCTAGTGACTTATCTGCATCACCTTAGAGAAATGCTCCAGCATCATTTTCTGTTGAGCTTTACCATAAGGAGAGGAAGGCATCAGCTTCTTTTCAGGGTAAACCTCATCCAGGTATTCACAGGTGATGGGAGATTCATATATCACCTCACCAGCAGGTGTCTCCAGTGTTGGAACAAGACCGAGAGGGTTCTTCTCCAGAAACCAGTCAGGTTTATCCTTCAGATTGATGTTGATGGTTTCATGTCTGAAAACAATAAACATAATTTAGAACATAAATGAATATGTACGGGCCAAATAATTTATTTAAACAAGAGGTAATTTTTATAAATTAAAATTAGTAACATTGCCCTTTACTGTATTAAGTTGTTATATTAAATAACATGATTTTTTTACTTGATTCCTTTGGCATTCAGAACTAATTTTGTTCTCTGAGCAAAAGGGCAGAATCTCATGCTGTAAAGCCTGATGGTGCCTTCAGGGACTGGGCCTGGTGCAGGACTACCTAAAGAGAGAAAAATAAGAAGCAGAGTAAAGGTAATCGTCTGGTGCTACAGCAGGTTTTGTGTACAAAACGTAGTGAGGAACGTAGTGATACATATATTGTCATTTATTTTTAAAGAGTATGCTCGATTCCAAATACTGTACTGTATTATTGTTCCTTTTGGACTGACTTTAAGCGATTGAAGTTTAGCTTATTTAAAACGTTACTCTAATGACGCTGGATGCTTTAAATCGTTAGCTAGCTCTTACCTTTGGCAAAACACTTTTCACTTGACATACTGCTGTTTCTATTGCAGCAAGAGATCAATGGCGAAACTCAAATGAACTACTGAAGTACTGAAGAAACGTATTTACATGATTTTTGAACAAGAGCTTCGTCACAGAAAACTACTTCCGGTAAGGGGCTACTGTCAAAACGGTCCTCGGTCAATGACAGCTTCGTTAGGTTACTAAATAGCATTGTTTATTTATGTCAAGGCGTAGTCCATTTTCTGCTGTACTTCATGAAAAAAGAAAAAACATGCATACAAATGTGATTTCTAACATATTATATATTTTGTTTAATGCCTTAATTTTTTTTTTTTTTTTTTTTTACATTTTACAGATATGGGGCATTAGATGACTTCATATGACTCTACTGTTTTTTTAAGTGAGGAAAGTTTACAAGATATTACATATAAAGATATAAACTTTAAAACTTTTTAATATAGTAAAAGAAGGATTATTAAAAGTATAACCCATAAGGAAAGATTCTGTACAACAGGTAAGATAAAAAATAAATACAAAAATAAAACACGAATCTTAATAAAAGCTTTCAGGATTTTACCTTTAGTAGCACACCTTTCCGAGGACATGCTTCTACTGTAGATACAACGAGCAGACGTTTTTTAGTCTGACTGGAACTGAGGAAAACAACAGGTTTATATGGATGTGTGTCTATATAAACTAGAGATAATCTTCTCCAGATGTGGGCGTGTATTTAAAACGGCAAGTCAGAATGACTCGTCTTTTTTTATATGTCGTAACTATAACCAAGATTACTCAGCATTTTTAAGATTTTAAACATATTGAATTAGTATGTGACGCCTCACGTACTAATTCAATATGTTTAAAATCTATTTAATATGCAATTAACCGAAAGGAGAAAAGTTTTTAATCTAGTCCGGACATTACAGGTGAGTCAATAGGATTACATTGGAATAATAATAATAACAATAATAATAATAATAATAATAATAATAACCAAATCGACAGACGTATCAGTATCTAGGGTGGAATGTTGGTATATTTAAAACGTTGCATGTGTTATACACAAAACCTAAATACATTAGCTATTATTCAATTCAGTCCAGGCCCCTGAAATAAAAGGACCCAGATGCTAGTAAGACTGACCGAAAATGTGCCTGTCTGAAACAACGGTTGTTCAAATGCGAACAAACTTTGTAGCCCGATTTAAAAATCTATTGAATTGACCAGAACATAAAAGTCTAAACTTAGGTTTAGTAATATTAATAATAATATATTTTACGTATCTATATCGTATCGTTTACGTATTGTTTTGTCGTTGTTTACTTGTCCCCAGGACAACATCTGAAAACACAAGTTTGATTAGCAGCCACAGCAGTGGAAAAACAAAAACCCAAAGAAACTGTGTCTACTTTTATATTAAGGTTAAATGGAAAGCTTAAAAATCAGGTACGTACAATGAAAAACAAAAGTTATATTTTAAACAAAAAAACATACATGTCCTTTTACGTAAGCGGATAAATAGGCTTTTTTTTATTACTCCCGCAGGTGGACCCTAGGTTTCACAGGCGAGGGTCTTCAGTTTGTGGACAGTAAAACAATTTGTTACATAATTGGGAACAATATATTTTTCCTGGACCTGGAATCAGAAGTACACAGTGTGTTTCAGGGCACTAGCAGGGGCATTGGTGTACTGACTGCCAGTGGCATCACTGGGGTTTTTGCTTTTTCTGAGCAGAAGTTATCACCATCTATATTTGTGCATGGTTTTCCAGACTTTCAACTGAAAAGTGAACTAAAAGGTAAGGCTCAGTAATGCTAAAGTAGTAATTATTTGATACAGTGGCGTATATTAAGGTAGGAATTAACAGTTCCACTAACCCATAGTTAGAGATAATTATTCTTATAAATCTTACCTGACACTATTTTTTTCACTCAGGGTAGAAACTTTTACTGCCTTGTCATGCTGACTACTTGAAAGTTGTTTATAAATGCCATTTTGCCCATTCCATAAATACCTGTAGTGAATACAATGTAGTTTCCTGTTCTAGCCTCCTAAGAGAAAACAATGACAACATGGCCACACCTCACATAAAAACAGTTTATTCAGAATAGTAGCAACACAACCTCTTTACATACTCTCAACTTGCATACATTTTTGTGCCACCCCTAAGATGCCACACAAGACAATGTACAGCCATATACATAAGTACCATAACTACATATATCCAATTATTTTGGTTATAATATTTATTAAAAGTATTTAATTATTAGTAGTCAAAGATTTGTTTAAATAAAGAAAAAAATAATGAACACTGCAATTAATTACTACTTGGTAAGCTGTACTGTACCTTCTGCTTGAAGTTGCCAGTTTGTATTCCTTGTAAGAATATCAAGGCAAAAGCCTTAAAATATTTGCAATTAATTAATGTTGTTGTTTTTGGCCCAGAAAATTAGTTGGATGATAGCTAAAGGTAGCTAAAATATTAACTTCTTAATTACAAATAGGCCAAAAGTTGCAAGTTTAATCTGTAATTAAAAATTTAAACATTAAAGATAGCAAAAAATATCACAGAATTATGAAAGGTAAAAAAGAAAGTTGCTTTCTTCCAAGGTTTTGTTAATTGGTTTACATGTGATCACGTCTGTGATCAAGTCTTCAATGGCAAATTCATATTATTGTGTGATCACAAGTCTTCAATGGCAAATTCATATTATTTTCGTTCAACAATCAGTTCATTTATGTTTTTCTTTTCAGGAACAGCACAGCTCGACTACACATCTCTGGCACTGAGTGATGGTGGTCCATATTTGGGTTGCTGTTCCTCTCTTCCAGACCACAGCATAACTGTGTGGTAAGCCAGAAAAATGTCCACTGTCTGATTTAGTGTGCCACACATGTAACGTTTTAGTTGTGTTTGTTTAACCGTGAGCAGCATCGTTACCTTAATCATCACTGTGTGCTGCAGGAACTGGGAAAATGCTGAGCCAATATGCACACAAGCACAAGCGGGCAGAGACGTTTTCTCTTTGCTGTTTAATCCTACAAATTGGCTTCAGCTCTGTGCTCTGGGCACGACATCCATCACTGTCTGGAACATTGAGAAAAGTGCCAGCTTTCATGTCCTGAAACCATGGTAAAGTAGACTTGGCAAAAAACAAAACAAAAAACCAACAAAAAATTTGTCGCTAGTGGCACAAGTATTACACATAATATCAAAGGTAACATTACGGCTTTAGGCACAATGTGTGCAAATCACATTTGTTTTGTGAACAGTGACATCCAGCTTCCTGCAATGGAGGGTTTGTCTGCAGAGAAACAGACGCCCACTCCTCATAGAGTCAGTGAGAGTTTGTCCTACTTTGGGCCAGAAATGCCACCATCAGCTATTGCAGGTCTCAAGTGTGACACGGCAGAGGGCATTGTGGTATTTCCTCATTTATTATTATCTAAAATCTTACAAAATAAAATAAGAATGTAATTTTCTAACTTTGTGTGTGTGTGTGTGTGTGTGTGTATGTTGTTTAGTCAGAATGTGAACTGTTATTTTATTATACCTCGTACTCTTTGTGTTTGTAGACTAAACTCTTCACAAGAAACAGACTAACTCCTACTGCCATCTGCTGGACGACAACGTCAGAGCTCCTCGTGGGCTGTGCAGAGGGATTCCTCCTACTCATTGACCCAGAGAGCCTGTCTCTCTCTGTCCTCTTCAATCCCACATGTAAGGAAACACACAGTAGCATATCTTCAACATGTGCTTGCATGTGCAAACATTCCTACTCTACCCTATTTCACACCATGTTGTCTTTATTCTTAAATTCTTTATTCTTATTCTTATTGTGCAATATGTATATTTTCTTGTTTATTATGTATATTTTTCTAAAAGTTTACTTTAATTTTAGAGTGCTTTTTGCTTTTTAGTTCTTTTTACTCTATTTATTGTGTTAACTCCTCTTCTCTCTTTTTCTGCACTGCCACTGGCTACTGTACTAGTATGTTTCCCCCAAGGGGGATGAATAAAGCCCTACTCTACTCTACTCTAAAAATGAAGACCTGATTTGTGTTTTGCCTTTGTTCAGGCCCCGGTGCAGTTGTTGATCTTACAAGCGGCAGTTTTCAAAGTCTAACCCTTGACAAAAAAGGACTGATTATTGTTGTGAAGGTATGAGCCTGTGCAGCCACAGTGCAACATCTGAATGTTTTAGATTCCTGCATAACCAAAGCTTGGTGCTTTTACAGTATTTAAATAATTTGGTATGCATGTATTTCACAGGATGCTTTGGTGCACAGTCTGCAAATTAAAGGGGCTCAGGTTGAAGTCGTACAAACCTGGAAGTTAGAGGGACCGGCTACAACCGTGATGTACTCCCCTGACTATGAAATATTACTTTCATATTCCAGGACAGTAAGTGATTAATACTCTTTATTACATGGGGGATTCTGTAAAATGTTATCAAGAGGAGAGAATATATTAGATTTTGTTTACCAAGATGGACCTCTTTTTTTTCCAGGGTGCAATTTACATGTTGAACTCCTCTCAGTCAGACGTGATAGTGAAGGTCCTGGATGTCCTTAGTGGAAACTTTGTGTCAGCAGCTTTCCTGTCCAACAAAGAGAACACTTGTGTGGTAAAAAAAAAAAAGATGCTCTCATAAATTTACAGTCATGTGATAACCTGTGAAATGCTCAAGGTTGTTTTCAAACTGCTTGTAGACGATAAGGGATTCTGGAGAGTTGCAAATGTTGTCTGCCGATGGTGCGTGCCTTGGATCTCTGCACGTGGAAGTCAAGGTTAGCGTTACAGCGATCACTGTGCATGTGAGTAAATGCATCGAAACGAGTAACAAGTGGTTGTATGATTATGATGTTACTCTGTTGTGCAGGTCACAAGTCTGGCCTGCTGCCCTGCTGCGAACTACGCAGCTGTAGGAACAGCATCAGGACAGGTCCTCTTTGTGGACTTGAACAACGCGCATGAGCCTCGCCTCGTGCATCAACTTCAGCTTTACCACACTGCAGTCAATCATTTAGCGTAAGTGTTCTCCACACATGTGACATCACAGTCTAATTTAAACAGACATTACGTACAGTCGCAATGGCTCGGTACTATACTCGGGAAGAAGTATCTACAGAGTAGATTAATGATGATATTTGTTCTCGTGTCAACAGTGTTGATCAGGAGGGTCACTACCTTTTCACCGGTTCTTCAGATTCACATATTTACATAATAGATGCAAAGCCGTCCAAAGGATTTTCAGTCATTGGATACACAGGTATACTTAATTACTGATATTGCATCTTATTAATTTAAGATATATATATAACACGTGTTTATTTATCCTTTTTCTCCTCAGTTGCTCCTGGAGCTATTTTGTCTCTTTCCACTCAGTGTGTGAGAGACAGTCAACAGGTGAAGGTTCTTGCTCTGTGCAGTGGGCAGGAGTTCAAGACTCATGGTGGTAACCTGCTCACACTGCTCTCTCTGCCTGCGAAAGACATCACGGGTACGACTCTGATTCAGTAAACTGAACCACCGCTGATCTTTGTTTACAAAAAAAGAAATTACTGTGATACAATTTGCTGCATCATATGAACAGGGAGACATTAGAGGTAGTTATGTCTACAACAACTACTTCTAAATAATAATAATAATAATTTGAGAATTATGAGTGTGCATTTGATTAATTTGCTAAGAAAAAAATGTCTTGTAACAATGAGAGGACTAGTGGAGAGAGAGGTCAAGGGTAATGTGTTTATAGAGAAAGATGACAAATGTGTGATGTAACTAAAGGACAGCATAGGTTTCTGAGTCAGTCTTACTTCCCATTCTTACCACAGTCAGAATAAAAAAAAAACATGATATAGAGCAGACAGTTCACTGCCTATAGATAGACTGTTTGGTCGAATTGTTGTCTGCGTTTTAGTGGAGGCCATGTGATGAAATGGTGAACTGTCCAAAGTGTAGACCAATGTAAGCAGGTTTCAAGGCTTCAAAGATTGTCCTCTGGTCAAAGCTGTTCCTGAAAAGCTGTATCATCTCTGGTCTCTATCGTTGACCCCAGGCCCTTAAATGTCAGAGTCTCACTTACTGGTCGTTGACTGATTTAGGCGGTGCTATGTAAAGACCCGCACAGTCAGTATTTATTTTAGTGACCAGTGTGGATGATGAGTCACATCCTGACTAATGGTGTTAGAAAAAAAAAAAAATAGAAATAACACAAAGTTGCACGTTTTTAAATAATGTTAAATAAATGATCTTCCGTATTTGTCATTTATGAAGTAGTTCACTTTCATGAAATGCACACAAGGATAATTATAAGGACTTAAGGGGATGTTTTCCTTCAAATATGTAGACATGCTAACACAAGTGTGTGGTGAAAAAGAAAGGCCAAGTGACTAAGCGGCCTATAAAAAAAACACACCCTGTGTTTGTACACCGTCTGATGAGGCCGAGGGAGGGAGGGAGAGAGAGAACAGCGTGGAGAGGACAAAGCAGAGATTACAGTCTTGGGCGTGTCAGCAGTGTTGAAAAATGCCCCTCGCAAATTATGTAACCAAAACCGTGACTCTGTTTGTTTTTTTTTTACCACATCTGCCAACCTTACAGGCCCAAACTTTGTCGACCGACACGGTTGTCTGACATCTGACAGCCTTGAAGCATCCGTGTATGAAGTTCCTCACCCCTTGCAGTGCTGTGTTCTCGGAGTCTCCGAGGTCTTCGCTTACTGTCACATGAGGAAAAGTCTCCAGTGCTTTCAACTTGCCCAGGTCTGCTGCTGCTCTGCAGTGACTAATAATAATATTATTAATAATAATAATAATAAGCATTAGACAGTTGAGAGCTTAGGTAAAATGTATTAATTCCCAGTTACTTTTATACAGAACATCTGCAAAGCATTTCTGTAAATAAGACCTTAGTGTCTACTGTTTAATTTACACTAGACACAGTCACAACAAGGTCTGGTCCCAGGCTAATAAAAAGTTCCAGTTCTCACATTGAATCTCCTCACCCAGGCGACCTAACTGGGCAAAGATACAACCCTAGCTTGAACTCTAACTTTTAAATCTTCTCTACGTATCTGCAGCTCTCCTGAGGCCTCTTCTGTAGCCTTGATATTGTGCCCAATCCTGTGATACTCCAAAAGTTGCTAGCCTTCGTTTTTTTTTGGTATTCCCAAATTGTCCGAGCTCCCTGACGTCACATTCCCACTGATTTCCTAGCATGCTCCTTCTAAATTCCCTGCTGGACCCTCTATCATTAGGGTTAGCTTGTTTTTCTAGCCATATACGTATATATAAAAATTTTAAGTATCTCCTGACCTCAGTTCTTGGCACTGGACAATGTTTTAGATATGTTTGTTTTTCTGCAATCCGAGCATCAAATTTTAATCCTAACAATTTTGGAATCCAGTCGCAGGGCGGGTTGAGCGGATTGGTGGGCTGGATTTGGTCTGCGGGCCACCAATTAATCACCACTGCTTGGGCTTAGAGCAACACTGCATTGATGCAGTTGTGTTGTGGCTTCAGTCTATAGACTTTTATTACCAAAATACCAATTACCAATTTTTTTTTTAAATTCCAGAAGTGCTGCTCATCTGGCTCTGTATAAAAGAACTGTTTGGACTTTCTTGAGTTAGAGTCATAGAGTTAGAATCATTGGTAAATTGTCCCAACTGTAATAATAGTCATTAATTCTCTGATTCTCATCAGGAAACAGACGTTCCCACTGAGCAGAAGGTCCAGCTAAAAGCAGTGCAGGAAGTTCGGGGTCATCCTCTGGGCCCTGCTTCTCTGGCTCTGTCTCCTAATAACTCACGGCTGGCCTCTGTAGGCCATGACGGCCTGCTACGTGTTCGAGAAACAGCCGCCATGGTAAGAACACGCTGTAGATGAGTGAATCATTTCTCCCACTCTGTGGTTGTGGTGGGTGTATTATTAGTCTGCTGTTCTGTAACTAACTACAGGAGCGCTACGCTGAGCTGCAGTGTCACGTCTGTCGACTTGGTGGAGCGGGGAGCGTGGCCTTCTCTGCAGACGGCACGAAGCTTCTTACTGTTAAAGATGGCTGTCTGGTGTGCACAGAGCTCAGGTAAAATCAGCAACACATGGGAAGTGTTTACATAGTACGCAGCTGTGAACAGCAGAGGGAAGTGTTGCTCACAGTGACACTTTACAGCGCGTTTCCCTTTTCACGCTGCCAGCCGTTGTGTCTGCAAATAAATAAAACCAACTGGAGTCGAGGTTCCAGCGGGATTGTAATGTGCAGAAAGGAGTAGTAAACTTCACAGAGCAGTCCCCAGATCCTCTGGAAAAACATCCAACACGCATTCCACATCTGTCTCCTCTGCCTGCTGCTGCATGTTTCTGTTGTGAGAAAAAAAAAAGGGCTTTTCTCCTCGTGTCTGTGGTTTAATGTACCACTCCATTGTGTCTTCTAAACCACCGTGTTCAAATGTATACCCTTAAAAAAAAGGGTTTATTAAGCAAAACAAGTTTAAAATTAACAGGAATAATTCAAAATCAACCAAGGTTTATGTTAAAAATAATATATAATATTAACAAATTGAAGCTATAAATTTAACATAAATAATTAATAAGCATATTTATTGTATTGCATCTGTTTAATATACAGAAAAAGACTAGATTACATTAGATAAGGTCCAGTTAGATTAGATTGGGGTTCAACTGGATGAGATTGATTTCATGTGGATTAGATTAGATTAGTTTTATTTGGACTAGATTGGGTTAATTTAAATAAAAGTAGATCAGTCTGGACTTGATTAAATTCTATATTTACATTATTACAGAAGCAATGAATTTGTTGTTACACTAAACAGTAAAACTGCGTACGTTAAAGAGGAATTAAGCGTAAATCATTACATTTAAAATTGTCAACATGAGTGTAGACTGACTAAACACTGAGTACAGGGTTTTACTCCATTAGTCTGTACTTCTAATCTCGTTTTAGTGTCTGATGCATCGTCATACGCTTTGTCAAAAAAGCTCCATTGTTCTCACGTCAGTGAGTCAAACAGGGCAACATTTTCCTTTATTTTGATCAACAGATACGCAGGAGTTTTATTTTGAGTCACTTCCATAGATACCGTCTCTGCCGTTGTCAACAGCAGAGACTTTTTTTTTTATTTGTGGGTCCGCTGCTAAAAAATGTACTTTAAAAAAAATAAAAAATAAAATTATATAGTAGGGAACTGTTTTCGACGTCTTCAGTGGAAAACAAATAGTTGTGAGGCTAAGTTTCATGTGCGGGAAACTTAGCCTCAGTAATTACAGAGATGGACCAACTAACTGTTCATTTTCATGTTGATGGTAATTGGGCAACAATATTGGTTATAAATAGCATCTGCACATTCGAGGCCAAAGGCAGCACAGAATGACGCTAATATCATATCATTCTTCAATGGGAGACGTAGCTAACTCTTTATATGAACTTCATGTTTCTTACAGAACATATATGTGCTCTCATGACTGCGGTGTATGTTTTGGCTCCTTACAGAAATCAAGATGTGGTTGATGATGTGAATACAGCAACTCAGCAAAGTCAGAAAACAACTCATTTTGTGAAGGCAACGTTCACTAAGGAGAACCCTGTCCTTATTGAAATGCCCGTGTGGAACCAACAACCCTGGGCTGATGTAGTAAAAGTGAAGGTTAGTCATGTCATGTAATGTAATATAACTGCCTGGGTGTAATCATATGTGAAAAAGTGTTTTTGTTGCACGACCTAAACCAGTGTTGTTCAACCTTGGGGTCGTCTGAAATGTCTAGTAATATTTATTTATTTTTAATTACTGATTATAATATTTTTTAGTATTTATAAACTGCCTTTTTGAAGCCTTTAATGTTCATTGAAGAGGGTTAATTGAGGTGTAAGCATAAATAATAAGTTGTCATCAATATGATTTAATAAACAGCTGTAATTTGATCATATACATCACCAGAAGTACTGTTTCCTTGTATTTATGTTTATATCCTGTATACAAATGCAGCATGAGTTAAAATGTCACTAGCATTTCTCCATTAAAGACTAAACATTTTAGTCATATTACTTTTTACTAAATAATAAGAATACTTATTGTGATTCAGGTTAAACATTTAAAACTGGATTGTCAGGACTTGAAATAGTTGATAATTAATGTAAAAATAATAAAGGAGTCAGCTTTCCTCTAGCTATGTACTGACTGGTACAAGCATTCTAAACATGAGACAACAGTGAACCCAAGGAATGAATGGTAATTATTAATACAACTCAGCTCGGATATTTACCGTCAGCTCATAAATGCCATGTTTGTGTTGTTTACACCGTAGGGGAGCAGCAGCGGCGGAGCTGATTTTGCGGATGTGACTGAGCAGCATGAGGGTGTTGGCAGCCTGCTGTCAGCTTCACCTTCAACCCCAACCTGGCAGGAAAGCAGACAAGAGGCGGTCAGTGACTAACATGCTGTGATATTTGCGGCGGGGCATCGTGGGTGATATTTGCAAGCGCTCTTCCAGTATTTCACTACCATGTCACAGGTGCAGTGGCCTTTTCACCTGTGCGTCTCTGCTTGATTAAAGTACAGCTGTTTTGATTTTGACAGAGCACGCCCTGATTTATTGGTACAAAGCAGATAAGCGTTTGTACTTTGTTAGCTGACAAAGCTCCGTGATAACTAAAAAATTGATACGGAAGGTGTGGCATTAAAAAAAAAATTGATACGGAAGGTGTGGCATTTATGAACCTGTGGTTTTCACATCATGTCTGCTCTGAAACCACACATGAGATGCAGGCGCAGACATATTCCAGGCAGATGATACTCACCAACATGCTTTCGAACGTGACTCACAACATGTAGAGGCACCTCATTCTCCCTCAAGCCAAATCGTGTTGACTGATAATGAGCTGGACATTATGTACTTTGGGTTTTCTCTGATGGGAAGTCGGTTGTTAATAATAGTTTTGTAGTTTTTCTGATATGAGAACGTGTAGAGGGACATCATAACATGCTGCTATTGGGTGGTGAATGACCTTATTATAGTGCACTAACATGTTACGTAATCCTCTCACTTGTTGATAATTTACAGGTGACGAATGAAGACAATGAAAAGGTTTTTGAGGTGAAGGCAAACATGAGGCAAACCGTGCAAGAGTTACGTGCTGCTGTAAGTGACCGCAATTCAAGAACAAAGAAAGTTAGCACAAAAAATCTGCATCTGTGTCTGGAAACTAATAAAACATTAGGGTTCTAAATAAAACATTGTTAAAATATAAAATATTTATATATACAGTATGTATGTATGTACTTTGTAAAAGTTTTGATTTGTAATTCCAATTTATAATTTATCTCAAAATAATAATTTTATTTAGCATAATATATTTTTGTTTTAGGTGTATAAACATAAATAATAGTAATAATAACAATAATAATTATTATTATTATCAGATTTGTATATCCTACAGTAGACAGGAGACGAGTTGAGCCTTGTTTTGTCTTCTTTCCACCTCCACTTTATAATGCCCATGTAAACTATCATTATTACCCGTCTCGTAACTGTCAGATCCAGGAGATGATGCGTGAAAATGAGAACCTCCCAGCCGTGGAGCGTCTGTCACCACAGGAGTTCAACCTGGATGTTGAGGAGCAGAGGAGAGTAGAGGCCACAGTGCAGGAGGAAGTGAACAGGGTAAAGCTTTTTTTTTTTTTTTTTTTTTATAAACAAAGACGTTTCTTTACATTTGATGTCTGTCATTACATATCGTAGGTAAAAGAAGAAATTGAAAGGGATATCACAGCAAAGTGTTACCTGGGTGACATCCTGAAGAGAGAGTGCTGGGATTCGGTGAAGGTCAAAGGCAGAGCCATTAAGGTGAGACAACACCATGAAACTAGCTCTTTATGTGGGTAAAACAGTAGCGACTAGGACTGAACCCAACATGTTAACAATCTCTTACAATCTCTTTTTTGGCTTTGGCTGTGTGAATGTATTTAGAACTGATGAAGCCTCTTAAATGAGAGCTAAACAGTCATTAAGGAAAAAAAAACATTATTTTACTTAGTGTTTGTTGGCGTTAACCTTGTAGCCAGTGTCACTGTTGACAGCATGTTGTTTTTGCCACACTTTGAACCATGCGGCTTATACAAAGATGCAGCTTTTCTATGGATTTTTCTATAGCTGCCAAGGGGGCATTGTAGCAAAAAATGCAAAAACAAGACAGACAGGGGACGTCAGTGCAAAGAATTTTTCACAGAATTTTTTATTTTCACACCCTCACCCCGTCATCATGGAAAGCACACAAAGAAGTTCGTATGATGCGGTGCCGTATAGTCCGGTGCAGCTTATATACAGTATGTATATTTAAAGTTTTTTTTTTTTTTTATGTATATTTAAAGTTTTTGTTTTTTTTTATACTTAGTAAAATACGGTAGCATATTTTCTATTGTGGTGCTCTATAGTCCAGAAAATACGGTAGCATATTTTCTATTGTGATTTTTTTTTTCCAATATTGGACCAATACCAATCCTGAGTATTATATTGAACCACCCCTATAGTCTATACACTGTACTGTTTGATATAATAATGTAATCCTGCCTATCGATCTGCTTGGTCAAAATATTTATGTTTATTAGTCAATACTGCAAATTAGCAAAGACATGTAGCATGTAGCTGCTGCTGGCGTATTAGCATTTAGCATTGCAGCTTTACACCAAGATTTGTGGGTCAACCTACTTTATACTGTTAAACATTTCACCTGGATGTGTTCCTAATTACTTGCAAATGAGAATACTCAGAGTATGTATGAACCCTCCTCCAAATATTTGCAGTATTTTGGATTAATTTGAATTCAATACTCAGATTATGTATGAACCCTCCTCCAAATACTATGTTTGCAGTATTTTGGATTAATTTGAATTCATACTATGGGTTTCTTTTTTGAAGTTATCCTGCGTATGTTTACATCTACATGCTATTAAGCACATGTAGTTCTGATGTATTTAGTCAATGCGTTGTTTTTGTACTGTTGTTGATCACAGGGCTTTTGCTCCAAACACGAGGTGAAGAACTACCCTCTGAGGGAGCGAACAGAAAAACAGGTGGAGGAGCTCAACAGAGTACAGAATATCAGGAGGATCGAAATGGCTGCCAGCACAGTAAGCACTGCTCAGGCCTGTGGTTTAGATTCTGATTAACACTGCAAATAAGAGCACGTGTGACGAGTTAGAGAGAAGTTAGAGATGGTATGATGATTTACAGCATGCGTAGTCGCACACAGACAAAAACATTTTTTTCTTTTCCTGCAGCACTACGGCTTCTCTAGTCTCATTTACGTTCCACCTTCAGTAAACACGTTGAACTCTGCTGCTGGAACACGTTTTGATGTTTTCAAGTACTGTCCTTCGTTTCACCTTTTGCTCTTGTCAGTTTTTTAAAGTGCTTGATGGCACGCCAGCCCGCTACGGTTTGGATGTGTCTAGATTTATGGCCGTGCGGACTAAATTAAGTGTTGAAGTAATTCTCTTGACTGCAACATTTTGGGATGGAGTTTGTAATCTTCCAGCCACCGATCCCAACCTCTACATTAGCAGTTATCTCGACCTTCTCATATGAAGTTTATGTTTCCGCTCTTTCTCAGCACCGTGGCCTGGAGAAAAGTCTCAACACACCCAGCCACAAAGAGGAAAATCAGGAGGAAGACTGCATGGCACACAGTGCTGCCGTAACAGGAAGTTTCTCCGCTCAGCTGGGATGTTCAAATCCTTACACATATGATCAGTTCAGCCTGCAAACCACCGAGCAGATGCTCAACCAGATTATTCTGCTACAGGTGGGAACAAATAAATGAAGTCATGAAACTGTTTTTGTCAGTAATCATCTAGGACATACGTGTCAAACTCAAGGCCCAGGGGCCAAATGTGGGCCACTAAGCCGTTTTGTGTGGTCCGCGGGAGCTTAAAAAGCATATAGTAAAGTCCATGCAGCAGAGTTTCTTATCCTAGTAAATAAAGGGTTTTTTTTTATTACACAGCAATGACCAATATTTTTAGCTTGAATAAATAATAATCAGTATTAATCTGTTATGGAATAGTTACATCTATACCAACGGTCCCAAACCTTTTTGGTTCCAAGGACTGGTCAGCCAGTACCACGCGTTACTACGGACCGGTAGCAAGGTGTCGAGCATTGAAGGGTCATTAAATTTTCAAAATAAAAATTCTCTTAGACTCTATTCAGAGTCTGAATGACATTATTTTAGAAACATTCCAGATTATCTTTAAATAAAGAAAGTAAAGAGACATGACTGGATTTTCTTTGAATGAAGTAAATTAGTATCCCACTGCGGCCCAATACCAAATGACCTATGGACTGTCACTGGTCTGCAGACCCCTGATCTATACAGTCTATACCGGCCCTTCAAGGGGAACTGTATTGATGATGTGGCCCCTGAAAATTAGTTTGACACCCCTGATCTAGGAGTTCCATTTATATTTAACCCCTGAACGCAGGATGTGATTCATCGCATCAAGACGTCCTTCAACGCCGAGTTTGAAGCCGTGCACAGGCAGAAGGTGCAGGAGCTCAGTCGTGTGAAAGACAGGAACAGACTGATTAGGGACATCATGCTGAAGCTGGATGTGAAGGAGAACCTGTGGGAGCCCACACTGAGCAACAGCGAGTGTCCAGAGAGGCTGCTGACCGTGGAGGATTCTGAGGTGACTGACCTGAGTATAGCACAAAAGATTCATCAGAAAACTAGGTGTGGATGAGCTGCTGTTTCACAGTACTCACTGGAGCTGCATATAATCGTCCCACTATTAGATAAAAGCAGAGAAGTTTCTCAGCCCGGAAGAAAAAAAGCAGGAGGAGAGAAAGAAATTGGAAGAGCAGCGACGTTTGGCTGCCAAGGTACGCCGCCACAATAAATCTGTTTTTGTTTTTCACTACAAACAAATTCTTCAAATCTATTTTTCATAAAGACACAGCTTATGTTGTGATTCCAGTCAACAGATTTTGTTTGTTTAAAATAAAAAAATATACTTGTAACATAATGTTTTCTCTGGTTCAACACAGGGCGATGACAGCAGAGAGAGAGGACTTGATGACATGATGGAAGGAGTTCTGGAAGTGAAAAAAGAAGACATTTTGAAAAAGGTCGGTGGAGATCATACAATTATGGTTATGAGTTAATTAACGGTAATGCATTAACTTACATTCATAATGCATTGCCTGTACTGCAGCTGCAGCTGTATGAAATGATATATGGAGAGTCATTAGGTTAGTCTGGTTACCAAAAATTAGTCAGAAAATCTTTTGATAAAACAGATTTGATTGACTTTTTCTTTCTTTTATTGTGTTTTTTTAACTATTTTCAAAATCATATGGTGATTGTTTTTGAATTTCAAGTTGTTTAAATAGTAAGAAAAACCCATATATATATATATATATATATATATACATATATATATAGTAAAGAAATAAACTCTCTTGGAGACACATTATAGATTTCTAGTCTAAAAATATAAATGGTTTATTTATTCGTTCAAGTGATTATTTAATTTATTTGACCTCCATCTTCCATAAATTTCCAGTAACTTGTTTTTTTTCTGAAACTCGCTGATACATTTTACTGCTTGTGATTTCTTTGAATATAAAATTGTAGAATTTTCTTTTGACTTTCCACAACCCACCAAAAGACGTAGTAGAAAATCCTCATCTTTTCTCTTCAGACAAATTTCACCCTGATGTTTGTTTTTTAACTCGTTTCTTGGCTGTTTCAGTTGATTTAGAAAAATCTGCCTGATAGGCACATAGTTTCTTTTGAATTACCTCCACAGGAAATACCTCTGCCCGAGTTTGTGTTAACCAAAGCTGAACCTGACTGGAGTGAGGAAGAGAAAAAAGTCTACAAACAGTACGAAAAGAAAACGAAAGCCTTAAGTGAGGAGAAAGAGAAATACAAACAGGTGAAAGCTTCATCCAAGAATCAAGAGTTTTTCTTTTGGCCGTAATTGTAAATGTGAATTTTTTTTTGTCTCCTTTGTAATTGCAGTTACTGGAAACTGAAATGAAAAAACTACAGGCCTGCACCAGAGAGGCAACTGAAAGGTTTGATGAGACTCTGGCAAAGCTCTACCAGAAGAAGTTCAAGTGTGAAATGGCCGTGTATCAGGTGAGCAGACGCACGTGTGTGACAAAATGATTAGTTCTCCTGGTCTCCTTACCGTGTGTGAGGTGAAGAGCTGTGTCAGAAAAACAAACAATACCAAGGACTCTGTTTGTGACGTTGTCTAAAGAACTGTTGAATTTTTAATGCTTTTTGACAGGAAGAGCTGAAAATCACATATCTTGTTTATTCGTTGCTCGCGGAAGAGGAGATGAGGAATCGAGAGCTGGAGCTCAAGCTCAAACTTGAAAAGTTGTTGGCGTTCAAGGTCAGAAATATTTCAAACTGTGAAAAAAAATTTACGACGGGTTTGCAAGAGCCGGCCTGCCCTCCTTGCAATTCGTGCTGCTGTCAGCAAATTGACGTAGATTTTTCTTAGCAATTAAAAAGAGAAAAAGTGTGAAAAATGTTCAAATATATATATTTATATTTAAAGAGGCTCCCTGGAAAATGTGGATTTCTACCAGTGAAAGCCCTTAAAAAGGACACTGGTAAGGGTTAATGGTACTAGAGTTTGACCTTTTTCCCAAATCCTGTTTTTCGACAGGATGACATTGGAGAGGAGGTGAGGAGGCGGGAAGAAGAAGTGGAATTGTTTCATGAGGAATATGACACCATCGTAGCAGAGGACAAAGTAAGAAAACCAGAAGTGCTGTAACTGTTTTAGCAGCAACCGTCCGGGCTTTTTCCAACTGACGTAAGAGGTTCTGGGTTGTGTTTTAGTTGCGTACAGTAAAGGAAAAAATGCTTTTGAAACAAAATCTTACTTAAGGTTATTCAGTATAAACACGTAATGATGCTATCAACCATATTTTAAGGTGAAACTTAACCTTAACCTTAGATCAGTGATTATCAACTTGCGACCTGTGGACACAATCTGGCCCACCAAATCATCCAATCTGGCCCACAAGTGGATTCTAAAATTGAGAGGATCAAAGAAATATCGTGTGGCCCTCCAACAAATATAGATACTGTATACTATAAATTAAATTACATCGTAAGAAGTAAGTCACATTAACTGGCCTTGTAAAGAGTGAGCTCCATACAAACAGATCATTAAGCTAAAAGTTATTATAAAAGTATGGACTGGGAGCTACTTTGAAAACTACTTATATTAATTTACCATTGTTCTTATCACAATGACAAGTGAAATAATGAAAAATTGCAAATAAATATGAATAAAGAAAACAAAATTAATTATAGTTGCTATATAAACTATATAGCATAATGAAATGACTTAGGTTTAAAAGTAAAAAAACATTTTTACATTTTTTTCTGTGATTTTTATACTTTTTGATTTAATTTTTAAACCAAAATCCAGTTTACCATGTAAAGCCAGTGTAGGATCAAGACATGTTTTTGGAGTACTTGGTAAATCTTTTGAGTCATGTTCAATTTTCGTGCTTATATTTGTCTTTTGTTTTTAACCTCATGACAGTCAGACTTTCTTATGTTTGTCAACGTTGTGTATTTACACCAATAACAAGCCAAATGTCATCACTGCTCACATTATTCCAACACATTTAAGATTCTGGACAAGGAATTCAGGAAGGAGTTCTTGGACGTGCCAGCAAATATTGTCGATCATTTGTATAAGCTCTTCAAGCGCAGACCCAGGTTTGTGAAACACTGGCTCCCCTTTGAACAACAACAAAACAAAAAACACCTGCAAAGGCACAAAAAAGCACTCTTGACTTTCTTTTGTGCTCTCAAGGCTTCAAAAGCTGAGGACTCAGACCAACAACAAACCTAACTTGGTTAAAGAGCAGCGGTCCGGCGGTTCCTCGGCTGCAGATGCGCTGGGCAAAATGTTCAAGGCCATGGAGGAGCTGGACGCTGCGGAAAACGCACCTGAGGGTTTGAACCTGTCCATCTGGGAGAGATTCTGTCTTGTACGCAGAACAAAAATAGAGAGTGAACAAAAGGTAACTTCAGGACACAGAAGGAGAACGGCTATTGGTGCTGGACATGGTGGAGATTTTTCCTTTACTACCTCTCCTCCTCCTCCTCATTCTCATGCTTCCCCCTTTTTCTTCCCCTCTTCTTCTTCATGTCATTCTCACTATTACTTGTAACGTTGTTGTCCATCTTTTCCATTTTCTGTCATTTCCATTAGGTCCATTTTCTAGCTGCATTTTTTTTTTATGAACCTTTGAGGAATTTTGGGCTTACCCATTCAGACATTATTCTTTTCAGGTCAGAGAAAGAGCGCTGACCTTCGCAGAGATGCAGGCGTTTCTGCAGAAGAGGAGAGACGAACACAGGGCCGTGGAACAGGAAATGAAAACTCTGTCTGATGATCTTGAGAGGTGTGGAAGTGAAATCTGTGTTGTGAAAACACAAAAACACTTCATGTTGTTTCTCTACTTCACAACACAACAGAGGCTTAACCTTCGTTGTGTTTATATTATTCTGTTTGCTTTCCAGTCTCCATAGGGAGAAAAACCGATTCCTGATGGACACCATGGTCCAGGTCGTGGTCAAACAAGGTCAGGTGTCCACCTTGAGGTCTGACGACTACACCGATGCTGTACTGCTCCACAGGAGTGCGGTGGGAGAACTCAACAGAACCATCAGGGTCAGCGTAAACATCCAGCAAAGTGAAAAATAAGAAAGAGAATCAAAGTTGTCAATGTTTTTATCGAACGTATCTGACGAAGTAAATGAAATCCTGACACCTGATTTTCATTTTTAAGCTAAATACAAGTCACGCTTGACTAATGTGATTTTGACAGTTTAATGTCATCCCTGGCAATCAGACGCTTGCGGAGCAGAAAATCACTGCCATGGTGGAGTGCAAAGACTTCAGCAGGGGCACAATCCAACTCGGGTGGGAGAAAGACGTGATGAGGATGCAGATCGAGGACCTGAACAACAAGGTCAGGGACATCAGGACGCTGCACCTCACTGAGGCACAGCAGGACGTGAGTACAAAATTTCACAGTGATTTATAAATGCAGTAAAACACTTTCTCCTGTACATACGCCACAGAAGTCGTGTTGCATTTAGACATCTGCGTATGGTGTGAAATATTCACTCCGTTTGCATTTGTAGCCAAACCTCAGTCAGTCATAAAGTCAGATATTTTGGTTTTGGCAGCCTGAGTTGTTGTGCAAGCAGTAAATTGTTACCATCCCTAAACACAGATGGATGATCCTTTGTTATCAGACACACACGCCCTGCTCACACGGGCTCCACACCCTGCTTCTTTTCTCTGCGGAACACATTCAGTTAGCTCAGGTAGAATGTGGTTTCAAGCTATACAGACACGTTTTATGTTTATGTTGTAAGTTATTAGAAAAGAAAGTGCTTTCTCTTTTAGTGGTGAACACGTAGTGATTACACCCGTCATTAAAATTGATGCAACAGTTGATATGTTTAAAAGTACCTGATGTCTCAACCATTAGAATGTGGTTGTGACAGAGTGAGTGGGAAATGGATGCAGTCATATTACTTCAAAACACAGTCTATTTTAAAGCGATGGAATTTGTGGATTAAAAAGACGCTATGACCATGAACACATCTTTGTACTGCGATTGTCAGAAACTAGTTTGATTTTGGGAAAATATACATAAAATAATTATATAATAATAATCGGTTATGCGGTGCTAATGCCGAGTTATGTACCTTGGAAGTATGAATGAGTTTTATAGTGAAAAGTACTTAATCAAAATATTACTGGTCACATGTAAGAAAGCACTGCGTGATGATATATTCGCTCGCTCCATGCAAACTAGTTGGCAAGTTTTAAAGCCGTACATCAGAATGATGTAACAATACTTTAATAAATTATGCGAGATGTACTACAAACTGGTTCAAGACAGATCCCATCCCCATATACTGCAAGTCAGTGGTTTAAATTATAAGAGAGGTCTATAGTATGGAAAGATTGACCTTAGACTTAGACTGAAGGAAAATGTCTTTTTGACTGAAGTGGAGAAGTGGACACAGTATGACACAGTCAAAGATGTCTAATAACTGACTAAGCCAACTTTGTTTACTTTATACTGTACTGCACCAGTGGGTGCCTGTAACCATGTTATGTTTTTGTTTGTATTGTTCTTCCTTTGGCACAACTCTGAGACAGAAATGGAATGTATAATTCAGTTTGGACAACATTTTGTAACAAATTCAACATTTGTTTTAAAATCAAGGCTAAATAATATTAGGTTTTAAACAGTAGTTGATCGTCAGTGTTTCAGTCTGAGTAACCGGAAAAAAAAGTTTGATCCCAGTCCAAGTTATGTCCCAGGGGTTTCTGTGTCAGAGTCTGAGTCACAGTGGAAAAGGCCTGGTCATGTCCGTGATGAGTCCTCAAGGTTTCAAGTCTGATTAAAAGTCTGTTAAAAAAAAAAAAGAACCAGTTGAGTAATGTAATCAAGAACTGTTATAATCCTAGGTTCTAATCTAGTCCTCAAGGGTTTGAGGAAAAATCCTGGTCCCAGGAGAACGTTTTTGATTTGAGCTCGAACATTGAAGAGATTATGCTGCTGTGGAAAACATCTAGTTAAACTTTGAGTTTAAGTTTGAGTTGAGTTTGCAAATGTTATAGTCAGAGACCCATTAACAGAGAGGGGTTGATTTGAGATGTTTTTTTAATTCCAACTTAAAGTTAAAACATGATTGCTTGTGAGATTTCAGTTCTTACTCTATGACACTGAAAAAGATTCAAGACTCATATTGAGTTCCCATGGTTCTCAAATATAAGGCCACGTCACTGAAGAAAGTGAGAGCTAGGTGCAAAAAGTGTGAAGACAAAAGTCCAACTTCCAGGACGTTAGGATTGTGGCTCTGTTGTGTCAGTATTTGAGTCTTAAACCCACAGGAACTCTTTGGTTTAAATTCTATTTCTTTATCATACAAATATATATGGAGTGATGGAAGCCTCCTTCACCAATCGACTTGTGTTTATAGTTAATTACGAGACAGGTGAAGCAACTTGTTGGACTTCACTTTTGCAGACGACTGTGTCCGTTTCAATAGTGAAACCTTTGTGATTTTGAACTCCCCTTTGAGCTGAATGCCATTAAAAGGCTTCTGGAATTTTTATTTGAAATGATGTGGGCAGTACGTTTTACAAGTCACCAAAACAGGGACAAAAGTAAAGTGTGTTTTGGTCTGACAAAGTTCATGTCTGGCTTCTGTTATTTAAGACCGTCTACTGTTTGTGTCCTGTCACTTGTACAGACAGAAAATAAAATTTTCTCCCCGAGGTAATAAACTGATGAATTAGAAAAACAAAAAGACAAAGAGAAAAAAAAAACAAAAAAAATTAAAACAGGAGCATACACAAAGGCCACAGTGTCAATGTGCAAACTCATAAAACATGTTTCCAGGCCTTCATGCCAGTTTCCTTTGGCGGCAGGTTCAGGTGGTGTCTGCTTTGGCATGGTATGAAACTTCCTGTCATTGTTTAGATCCTGGAACAATGAGGTAGAGAAAAAACGGTTTATATAAATAAAACCACCCTGTATGAACAGAGAGGTTTTTTTTAATTAAACATGTATTGTCCATTGTACATTAGACAACAAGGATGTTTACGCTTTCTTTTTAACGTGTTTTTGACTTCACTCCTTCCCTTTTTTTTCTCTCTCTAGTATCTCAACAAAATCGATCGAGACAAACGTGCATTTAAGCAGATTTCAGTACTGGAGAAAACTCTATCTTTTTTCCTCCCCCTCTCCCTCTAGTATCTCAACAGAATTGATCGAGACAAACGTGCATTTATGCAGATTTCAGTACTGGAGAAAACTCTAGCTTTTCAGGAGAAGGTAATAGAAAAGAATGAACTTGAATTCAATCAGGAATGTTGTTTTTTTTTTGTTTTTTTTATTGTTAACATGTGCACTAACGCTGCTTTCAGACACACGTACACAATGTGCAACAACACATGAAAACGATAAAGCAGTACAACAGCCAGGCAGCAAAGAAAAGCACCGAAAACACAACTTTGGAACAGGGGCTCCCAAAAATGCAGGTGGCGTTAGAGGAGACGAAGCACATCTACCAAACAATAGGTGATAAAACACTCTTTAAAGTTCAGCTCCAATGTACACATCCCCTTAATGGCTGAATGCTTTACAACTGACTACTTCATCACAATCAGCTTCACAGGAAAATCGAGGTGCAACAGAGGAGCGCTTCCGTGAAATCGTTCAGAAGAAAAACCTGGAGGACCTGGCCAGAGCGCAGGCTGAAGATCTTGTCCTCCTCTGGACGGAGCTGGAGCGTCTAAGAATGAAGAACTTCCCCTCACTGGACCAACTCAAACACAACTGAAAACCGTTTCTCTTCATCAGAAAACTTTAAATTATATATATTATTTTTTTACAACTGAAAAATTTAGCAGCAACAAATTGAACTGTTACAGGTTCCAGGTGACGTGTGCACCCTCGAAATGTAATATTATGTAGTAAAATCTTCCTCTGTGCGGTCGAAGTGCAGAAGGTCATGGTCCAGTCCGAAAAGGTCAAAGAGCTGGGGCAGGCTGGCCTTCTGTCCGTCTATGACCACATCTGACTGTAGCTCATACAGCGCGGCCTGAGCACAGCTCCTCCACTTGTCGATCAAGACTTGAAGCTCTGTTAAATCATTCTACAAAGAGAGACACACAAAAAGGTTTTTTTTCATTTTTGAATTGAAGCCAAAATTGAAGCCATTTTGTTTACGATACCATATGTTAGAATGATGGAACATGACTTTCCTAACAAATTTATAGGAGATGGCGACGTGACCTTGAAACCGTGAAATCAAGGACCTACTGTATTCTTAAACACAACAGAAAGTTTTGGGGGTCATCAATACCTTGCTTCGATACATTTTAACCATCTTGAGTCTCCTCAGGGTTTCTGTCTTTTCTTTCACCTCCGTCCTGAGTCTGTCGAGCTGTTGATTTACGTCCTTTCTGGAGAGACAGGCTGATGCAGGAACAGGTCCAGAAAACCTTTCGCTCCCTGATCTCGTGTCATTTTGGTTAACGTCAACATTAGGCACAAGCAGAGGGAATTTTTTATGGTTCTCTGGGGAATCTGCTGGCACTTGTACGCATTTCTCCTCTGAGTTATCAACACAGAGACGTTTGGCCACGGAGCAGGGTGAGGTGAAGGAGCGCCTTGATCTCTTCAGCCTCTCCTTCAGGGAGGAACTCAGCTTCTGATGAGACTTTGGAAGAGACTGAATAAAAAAACAATGGCTGTGACATTATGTCAGTGTACAAACACTTCATTGATAAATACTCATGATTTAACACTTTTCAAAAGGCAGTTTCTTGAGATCACAGTTAGACACAAGTCAATGATTTCTATGAAATGTTCTCATGGTAATCATGATCCAAATCCAGATTCAGGTGTGCGGTGAGACTAAAGAAAGTAGTTTGTACATATTATCTGCTCTGTGACTTATCCTGACCATGACACAGCTCAAATTATGAGAACATCTACCTTACAAGTCCCTCTTTCAACATCACGGGCGTTACATAAGCATGAAACGCGCTAAAACACACAACTGTAACTTTACTGACCTTCTGTTCTGTGTTGTTACATGGACTGGACTCCAGTGACTCGGAGGGTGAAGACAGAGAACAACCTGGTTTGACTTTACATGACTTAGGAGTCGCCTCCATTAGTGTAAACAAGTTCTCAAAGTCTCAGTTTGAATTGTTTACCGCGGTTACCACCTCAGTTACAGTTATAGACGCCCAAAATCAAATAAAATGTCCACAGTCTATTAGCATATTTACCACAATTTCAGTGAAAAAGCAGTCAAAGGAACAACCTAAGTAATGCAAGTCAGTAACCTCTGTTTTTCCGTATTATTCTTACCTCCAAAAGCGGTGATTGGACAGAACTTCAATGACGCCTCTCCGAACGGAATCATGGGAGTCGTAGTTGCTGAGACCAACCCGCTGACGGCACCGAATATTAGCTTCATATAAGGTATGTAACATATTTGTATTCTTATTTCTCCAAATATGTTTTATATAATTTTGAATTTACAGGTACATTTTACTTTCCGCCAGTATTATTTGTGCTTATATTGTGTTTTATTTAGCATGGGCAAGTCTTTTAGCGCCACACGTGACAGTTAATAATTGTATTCGATAGGCTCCCTAGACTTGTTTTTATTTATCAGTTTAGCCTGTTGAAATGTATTAACTTTACTTATCGCAGCTCTGTTGGTGCTGGCACAGGTATTTACAGAAAACAAAGGCAGCAGAAAAGAAACTTTTTAAGTGGTTCCAGAGACAGTTTATCCAAATAACCTGTTTGTTTTCATCGGTGCTAAGTGGGTACCAGCCCAGCAGCACTAATAGCCCTCACAACCCATTTACAGCACTCAGGAAAACTTGAGAGAATTTGAGGGAAGCTAAGAATATAACATTTTTATTTCATTAGACATGAACACAAAAACAAACAAACCTAATAGCAGTGGCCTATTCCTTCCTAATCCATTGAGATTCATATATTTTCAGATATTTTTATATGATGCATTTCATTTGAACTTGATTTATATTCATGAACGTGAAGGAATGTCATTATTTAATATTGTTTGTGGTGTGTAATGATTAGTTTAAAACATTTTGTTAGTAATTTTTTTAATCAATTGCTAGACATTTCATTTGAATTACAGACTACCCCACGTGGGCTTGAAAAACACTAACATGCGCTACACATATATCAACAACAAAAAGTGTCTTCTGCATTGACCTATCTCTGGGGAGATGACACTAATCCCTCTGATTAAAACCCTACTCATCTTACCACTAGGCCACGAGTTGCTGCTATATTTGCTGCTTAACTTTACCACTGGGTTTTACCAGGTTTTACGCAACGTACCTTTAAAAGAAACAGTGCAATGGTTTAAAAGAACTCAGAGCTGCAGCCCACCTGTTACTTCTTAAGTATGTGTTCCAAATCTGCGAAGCATGGAAACTAAACGCAGTAGTTGTCCCGTCCAAAAGATCCGGAATCTGGATACTTCAGAACATAGGAACAAAGAAGGAATTTCTTTGGGCTTAAAACCATTATGTAATATAAGTGTTTTAATGGACAGGAAGCATATGTAAAAGCCCAGCGAATCATCTCCAGCTGTTAGTTCCTACCAAGGAGTGTCTTTTCATTTCTGCCTTTTCAATGTGATTGGTATTTGTTAATTTAAATGGTAATAAAATAGAAATCAAGTGTTTTTTGGAATGAGGGCAGGAATGGAACTGTTCTAATGTGATCCAGCTGTGTGGTTTCACTGAGAAAGAACGTGGAAAGTAGAAGTGAATTTTTGCATGGGTTTGTGGTCTGGTGCAGTGTTAAGGCAGTGTTACCTGGTTACACTTTGTAACTGACTCATGGGCTGACTCATCTCCATTAAAAGATTAATGTATAAAAACAGCTCATTTCATGCTCGTGCTAATATCAGCCTTTTTATTTATTTATTTCTGTTTAATTTTTGTATCCGCAGGGGTAAAGGTGTGAATCAAATCTGATCCTGTCCAGACCTGAGTGTTAATACTTGGCAGTCTGATATTACACACCCTGGAGGAATAGGTTATTTGTCTTTAAGATTTTAAATGGATGACTCCTGCCTAGCCGAGAGCTCAGCATAATTATTGTCTGAGTCAAAAGATACTTTTGAAGTTTGACTAGTTTGGTAAGAACTGCTGTGGTGGCTCTTTACTGTAATGCGTGAAGAGACTGCAGGATGACTGCAGGGTGTGTCATTCTCAGTGTAGATGCTAGCTTTAATGCTCAAGCAGCACACACACACAAACTCTTATATATATACGTATATGAGTTACTCAAAAGGCGTGTCTATAAATATGTTACATTACTGTATCATCATACTTACCAGTTTAGTCTTTGTTGAGTAGATGATCACCTGCAGAAATGAACACTGATTGAAGCTTATTCTGACAACTGTTTTTAAAACCACTTTTTAAATACTAGACATTGTGCCTTTGTAATGTTTTTTTTTTTGTGACTCATTGACTACTGAAAAATGTCTCGAGGCTTTAGGGAACCAAAGATCTTAAGGAAGTCAGTGTTTTACATAATACTGTGATCAAAATAACTAATGTTTTTTAACAAAATAAGGAATAAAAACTGCCAATGCAGTAAAAGCACTAGTCTGGAAATTGTACGTAGGTTTAGGTGTAAAACAATAATATACTTTATATTACCCATAGGTATCCTTGTAAAATGTATATGAAATGCAACATAACGTAATGTAAAATAGTTCATTATTAGGTCAAAGCTCAGGTGTGTTCCACTGGCAGTGCTCTTCCCGACTGTGTGTCTTAAAGCTAGAATCAAAAAGTACATAATTTGAATTACACAGTAATGCTGAAAGCCAAGGAAGCAATTTGAAATACACAGTAATGCTGAAAGCCAAGGAAGGTCTGTTCAGAAGTCGTTTTATGAGGAAAACCGCAGCGTCAACAGCCTTTTAATTGACGACTCAGTTGTCAGACTATGTTGTAGAGTATGGATGCTATACAGTAAGTAGTAAACCTGACATGTTCTAGTAAAAAGGAAGTGAAACCAGGGTTTGAGACGTGTCAGCTACAACGTTTAAATTTTAGATCAACTCAAAGTACAGATCTTTTCCAATTTGACTTGAACACATATGGAGTTACTTCTGAAACCACCAGAGTACTTCCAGTCTTAGGGAACTCCACTGATTTCCACACAGGCCTCTGTTTATACTTTGCAGACAGTCCACTGCATTAACTGTACTCTACGGAGCCTGCAGTCTTTTGCCGCTATGTTTTGTCACCAGTCTTAAAAACACACCAGCCAGAGAGAGTCGTTGCTATTTAAAAACTGAAACTTAATACTCGCATGGAAACAAACAGTTTTGCCCAATGAAGTGTTCACCAACAGAGTTGGAAAAAAAAAGTAACAGAACTGTTGATGAGGGTCTGATACGCCAAAGGAGTTTCTGTAGCGAAGAAGACAGTTGAGTGGAGGAGTTCTCTATTTTTTATATGTGCAGTTTTGATAAAATGTAAAATCCTAATATAGTGTGCCTCTAAGCTAGGAGTGTCAAACTCAGACATGCAAAGAGCCAAAATTCAAATTGCACTCTAAGTTGTGCACCAATCAGGATTAACATTTATAGAACAGTCTATTGCATCTCCAGGATGTGGGTCAGAAAATTGATTAGAACTGAAGAAGAAGAAAGATGAAACGGTTATACCTAGGTTATACCCATAATACCTTTAATTTTCACATCATATTAAAACGTAATCCACCAATTTGAAAACACCAATTATGTCAAAATGGCATTCTGGACAAAGTTCATTTTTTTTAAATTCCTAGAATAGACTTATCCTGCGTTCAGCTGCTTCTTCGAATGCATCTACAGTACGTTTCGAAGCTGTATATTTTACTCCAGAAACAGCGCAAACTCTTAAAGACACAGCGTTAACATCACTGCAGATGAACTCCATACCATTCACTTCTTGTGAACCGGTAAACTGACTGGGAGGTTTCATTTGATAAGCATTGATTTAGTCAGAGGCTAATCATTGTTGTGGTTGTTAAGTAGGTGAAAAGACTGAGCTGGGTGCAGAGATCAGCTAACCTGGGAGGTGAAGGAATCGAATCAAAGCAAAGGGAACAGTGACAAAGCAGGCCTTGTTAATGAATTTTCAAACCGCTGTGTAATTACGGTCTCATAAACGCGGCTGTAAGAATGCTGCCCTGCAGATAGTCTAATCAGAAGTACGTTTGGCAACGGGCATGTGCTCTGGAGTCTTATCTCGCAGCTATAACGTGACCAAATACAGAAGCTTAACTCGAGTGTGTGAGAACCTTTTGGGTTATGTCTTTACAAGTATCACATTTCTGCTCAAACTTATACACAATGCTGCTGCCATGGTCGGAGATTTGCCTCTGTGTGCGGTGCCAATGTCTGTTAACATTTCCTCATCAGACATGGTTTGGTAAATTGCAGAAAGATAAAGATCCGACATAAGCCCATGAAGCAAACACAGCCACAAATTGCATAACGATGTCAATTCTTCCTTGATTACCTCCCCACCCCCCCACATGCTTAAATTTAGAAGAACACATGCAATTTGATTTGGCGTGCAGTGTATGCAGAGGGTGTTTTGGGTTTTTTTTTCTTTTTTTTTTCTTTTTTAGTTTCTCAGGGGCATTGAAATTATAACAATTATCTTATCTTTTTTAGTTTCTCAGAGGCATTGAAATTATAACAATTATCTTATTATAATCTGTCTGAGACAGTTTTGACCTGTCACTCTGGCTGTTGTGCAAACCAGACTGGAGAAGGTTTAAACACAACACTTACAGGAATAAAGAGAAGTATTTTAAAATAAAACTTTTATACATTTAAATGCATTGAAACAATATTCCCTGGGGGAAAAATTTTTTTCACTTCCTAAATATTTTGATAATGCACCAATAGTCACTTGCCGATACAGATTTTCAATAATTCTGATTGTCCTTCAACTACCAGTGGAAAGAAATGAAAATGTGTTCTTCAATGCGAAATTTCATGTTTTTTAAATAGTAAGACATAGCCTAAAAGTTACAGTTACAGGTTCGCCCTTCAGTTCAACAAATTTCGAAATAGAGTGCTTGGTAACTGGGCGAGGTACTAAATGAGAATGGCCAGTAATTGCTGCTAAAGGGTTAGCTGAGGGCTGCTACACTAGCATAGCATGACTCAACTTGAAACAACGCCAATAACGATATAAAAAGCCCATTAAATGATTGTGGTTCAAGTGTTGGGTTAAGGTTGAGCCGACTAACTTGGCTCCTCCACACCTAACCTGAATGATACGTAAGTATCAAATAGTGACCTCAGGGGATTTTCTGGCTAAGGCACACATCTTCCAAGCTAACATGTCGTAGATCTATCTATCTATCCATCCATCCATCCATCCATCCATCCATCCGACTGCACAGCATTTCCATGCTAACTGAAACATACAGTAGGGTCTACTAGACTTAATGAAAGGAGAGGTTCTTTACTGTCAGGACTCACTTTGTGAAAATGTCAATATTTCCAGTTTTCACAGCACAGCACCAGAAACTTTCGGCATTGCAAATTTTTTTAAGTTGTCAAGTGTTTCATGCCTATATGTCTGCCCCTGGGGTTTTTACCACAGTAAAGAGGAATCACTTTGATCCCATGCTATTCCTATATTCTGTACATGTCACATGACATATAATTTGAAATTGTTTGAAGTGTGTGAAGTTGTTCCTTCTGGTGGTGAAAACGGTGTAACCATCTTCTCCACATCAGCTGTCGCTGTCTCCAGGCTTTATTGAATTTATGATGTAGTGGATGTCTTTTCATCCAAAATGTGGTGAGGAACAAGTCCTGGCATAACTACAATATTCTATTACCTTTCCTGCACTGTAATAATGCACATTAGTTTCTGCTACCATGTCGTGAACATTTCTTTTTCTAACTTCTTGCCTGTCCTGTGTATTTTTTTCCACAAGACAGCAACAGTCTCTTGGTCATTTACTGGCGAGGAAGTCATGAGTTCTTATCTGGAGAGTTGTAATCCTCAAAATAAACATGAGTGTGTCCTTGTCCAAAAGCTGCAAACTTTTTTTTTTCTTCCCCAGCCTCCTGGAATTTGATACATTTGATACTTTTTGTTCCATTTGGCACCTTTTGAACTTGCACAAGTTTCAGCTCGGCTCCTCCTCTGCTGCTTCCCTGTCTTTGGGGCCATTTGTTTTCCATCATTTAAGCAGATTGAAGTCATGCCTGCTATGAGTCATGTGGGTGGGTGGATGTCTTCACTGGGTGTGGTGGGTGAGGGATCCTACTGCTACTTGTGGCCGGTGGGAAGGGAAAAAAAGCATCTATAATTTGGCTAGAAATTACATGAATACGGATGGAGAGATATGGAATTTTCACGCAGATAAAAACTGTTTTAATTTCCTCCCGTAGGAGCGGCTTGTTGATTATTGTCCTTCTCCAGGCTGCAGGAGTTTGGACGCTGATCCTTCAACAGCTGCACAGGGAAAGCTGTTTTATTGACTTTTGCATGTGTGTGTTTTTTTTTCAATATACAATAATTAGTTATATAAGAAGTTAGGGCCTTTAACCACACTGTGCAGGATTAATGTTCCATTTCTACTTCCAATCTGAGCAGCAGATGTGTTCCAGCTGCTGTGTGTGAGATGGATTTACTGCACACAACAGCTCAGCACACCCACAACCCTTTTTACTGCTGCGATGCAAAAAAAAAAAAATTGAACAAAGGCAACAGGAAAAACCCACCTCCCTAAATGCACCGACACCACCTCCTTTGCAAAACTTCCAAGGCCAGTTTTTTTTAAAAAAAAGTGGTGTAACAGCAGCGGACTAACAAGCAGGAGGAGGTGGTGAAGAAGGGAGGAGGAGAATAAGGTGGGGGACGAAGAGGAGGAGGAGTTCCTCACCTCATTTCATACATAGTCGACTATCTGTCTCTGACAGTATAATTAGATCCCCCAGGCGCAGTTTTTAAAAAATTTTTTTTTTAAATCTATCTAAATTTTTTGTGCTGCAGTCGGAGCTGTGGCTGCGCCGCTGTGCCAGGCTCCACCGCTGATGGGCGCGGCTCAAACCTGTGTCCAAAAACTCTGTTTTCACTTGTCTGGGAAAAGTTGAGCGAGGAGGCAACAATAGGAGCGCAGGACTTTAAGAACATCCCACCGACACCACCTCCACCACCAGCAGCGGCAGCAGTGCGCGTCAAGTTGTACTCTCTGTCTAACGCATTATTCCTTCTCCTCCTCCAGTGGAAGCAGCCGGACGGAGAGGAAACTGGGATTTTCGCGTCTGTAGCTGGAGTTGTCTAAAGGTATGGACTGCTCTCATCTGGAATATGACTTTTCTCATTCCTTTGTTTATTATGTGGTTTATGCTGGATGTTGCGGCTGCCCACCCACCCCCCGCCCCGCTCCCCACTTAGCTCCGCATCTCTGCACTAACTTTACTGCGCTCTTGGATCTTGGTGATGGGCTGCAAAGCTGCGCCTCTTTGCGCTGCACTTTTGTTTTTATTGGAACGGAATTGCGCAAAGACCACTTAACTGTCGCTCCCTATAAAACAAGTACCACAAGCAGGCAGCTTCTCGGCTCGTCTGTCTGTAAAACCCAGCAGGGAGTTTTGGGGGATCATTTTTCTTCCGGTGGTATCTATAGTCTCCTGGATAGTTTTTTCTTGCTGTGCTATTTGCATCATTCTAAATATACTAGAGGAGCTGGCCTTTTGGTGACATGGGCCTATATTTGATGTTAAGATCAGTTACAGACCCCCAGACACGAGCTTTGTGGAGGCTTGAATGAAGTACATGTTAAGGCCTGTCTCTCAAGCAGGTCGGGGCGTCTTTAGGAGGTGAAGGAATCTGAGGTCCAGTTGATAGGAAATATAAATACACCAAAGTTAGGAGCTACACGCTGTGCTTTCACCACCGCTGTCTGTAGTGAAAGAACAAATCAGGGCTATATTTTATATGAGGCCACATGCAGTTAGGTGATCTTGGCAGGGTGTGGTGACAGTGGCAGTGGCGCACTGATCCACTGGCCTTTTTTCTTCTTTTGTTAGGTTTGTCTTTAAAAAAAACTCAAAGTCAACACAACGTCATTTGGAATCTACAGATGAAACCCTAATCCCTCCCCGGGATTGTCTTTTCTTTAGGTGTTTACCCTTCCCATGAGATCTGAATGCCTCCAAATGATGTTTAAACACTGGGATTGCAGCAGATTTCTGAACTCATCAAAAGAAACCATTGACTATTGTATGAGATTGTGGTTTTTTGAAATGTCATGAGACTGTTCTGATGCCATGTCATAAACCCATTGCAGTAAACAACAGACAGAAAATGTTTTGGTTTCCAACCCAAGTAATTCTTGGCATCGGTGTAGAATTTCCTCGCCCCATTTTCCCCAAATTAATTTTGTTGATGAACCTCCGTTATGAGTTCATGAATCAACAGACCTTAAACCGCCGCCAGCACGGGATGACCATGGTTGACTTTTTATCATCTCACCAGATAAGATGGGATGGACGAGTTAACGAGACAGATGGACTTCTTAGAAGACTTGTCTGGAGAGAGGGGTATGATTTCTGAATTTGTTTGTCAACATTTAAACTCACTCTGACCGCAGTCTTATATATAGGAACAGTTCAGGTTGGGTTATTGGATGAGGAACTGACACGTTGTTAGTCCTGGCTGTGCAGCTTGTGCTCCCCGCTATGAGATGCTTTGTGGACCAAAAAAAAAAAAACTTCCTCGGACAGTAACAGTTTTCCAATGTAATTGCAACATTCAGCGTTCAAATGTGAATTATTTGACTCCTACAGTGTTTGAAAAAAAAAAAAAAAAAGCATCACTTCTTCCCCCGCTGTAAACAAACCGTAGTGCACACCTCGTCCTGGCCGACCTGCTTGCACGACGTCAAATTCTCCTTCTTTTTCTTGTCTTTGATTCTTGTTTCTTTTTGGTTACGGATTCCTTGGTCTGAAATATGTCACTTACAGGTGTAAACAAATATCAGCTAACATCTGTTTATCATGACATTTCACTGATCATTCTTTCTAAATATGCCAAACTGGTACACAGGTTTTGAATCGCACATTTACATAACACAATTCTTATACTCTGGTTATGTTTACTAGATCATTTGCAATTTCATAAATGTAGCTAGGAGTCACGCTTTAAAATCCATTCCGACATGGGCGTTAAACACCCTTTTAAAATCTTTAATCTTTAAAAGCTGTGTTGACTTTTTGGCCACACACCAGATTTCATAGTCGAATTACATTACATACTTTTATCCCAAATGTTATTGGCGCAGAGGTTGCCAGGTCAAATAATTAAAATTGATTTGTTTTTTTAATATATGCCACAGTGGGTTAGAAAAAATCAATGCTTTTTAATTTTAAATACTTTTTTGTGAGAATTTTTGTGTTTCGGAATTTGAAAAAAACTTGACACGGCGTTGTCAGTGTAAAGGGGAAGCGCTACAAAGGGTGGCACTACAGACAAAGTACTTTTAAATATAAGATAAAAATGTTGATTTTCAACTTCAGTGTTGGAAAGTCAGCAGTTATATTTCCAATTGAAAAACCCTTTGGTTCATTCGCTAATATCTGTCTTTCTCGTGGTTTTGTCCGGCGGACAGGCTGTCAATCAGAGCAGTGAATCACAGGACATTCAGTGTGTGTTCTTAATATATATCAATACTTCATACAAACACGGTGTTTAAAAAGAAATATTCATGTAAACATTCTAAAAAAAAAACATTTTAAGATTTCACTGCATCCCTTTCCTTGGGTGGCACTTCTGTCTCTTTCTTAAGGGCTGGATACGGTATTACTAACAACACAGTATGACTCCTCTGGTGTCAGTTACGATGTCTCAGGGACCGAGTCCTCCTCCGGGATTTAATCCAGTTGTCACAGTTCATCATAAAAGGACTAGACTTGATGGGGCAATGAAAGGTCAAGGAACGTCAGATTATGTGTTTACGCGTAACCGAGAGGAACATATAAAATTGAGATTTATATTCTCATCTTTTATGAAAGATAGACCTAAGATTTACTCTTGGTAAAGTCAGCTTTTCCTCAGCTTTTCATAAGTCATGTCACGACAACAGCATAATCACGATGGCTGTGGGTTAGTGTTGAGTTTTGGGCCCTGAGGCAGTCAGAAGTCCCTACAAGGAAGGAGGAGCAGGGTGGAGGGAGGGAGGAAAGTAGGAAGGAGTGAAATAGAAATGGAATTTACATTATCTATCACAGAACACAGACAAGTCACACTGACTTGATTTATTCCAGCTGAAGAACAAGAGTTTTCTGAGTAGAAAAACGTGTCACCACTGTCAAAATGTGTCTTCGATTGTCTGTCTCTTTGGTGATTAGAAACACATACGTCCCTTTGACAGGACACTTTTTATTAATAAGTATTCCTGTAGACCATACACTACAGCTGTTTGCTGCAGAGCTGGTGAATTATTCCCAGACGGACTCCAAACAAGATAGAAGATTTTTATTATTATTATTATCGTTCTGAGAAATAGAGCACATGAAAGGATTATTATTGTTCTGAGAAATAGAGCACATGAAAGGACCTGAACGATCTCCAGAGCTGCCACTGAGGCTTGGCTGTGAATGTTGTTCCATTTTACGATCAAATAGCGAATTCCAAATTCTAACAAAAGACCTTGTTAAAGTCCCTGTAGAAATATAAAGTTGACCTTTTATGAAGTTTATAAGAATATGGCAACATGTGCCTCTGTAGCAAAGACAACTCGCATTAACTTAGTTACATATTAAGTTAGTTGCTTGTAGTTCAAACTAGGTATGTTCAGTAATATCGGCAGACTGATAATATCGCTAAATATTTTTGGGGATAAACGGCTGTATATGAAAGTGAAAGTCACTAGATGGCGGCATTGCAGCTCATCTAATTTATCTATTTTAATGATCAGGGGATTGTAAGGATGCAGAATTCTGGTCCCAGCAACTCATACAGTGGTTTGCACAGATAAATTAATAAATACTCCCAGGCCTATATTGGTATCGGTTGATATCGGAATTGGAAATTAAGTGCTGGGTTCTTCTGGAGTTTGAACCCAGAACCATCAGCATGTAAGGCAGACATGACAACTGGTACACTACGGAACCCTTTAACCGCAAAAGTGGCCATTGTGGGGCCTAAACCCATGACCTTGCCTTATTAGCACCATGGCTCTGACCATCTGAGCTAAACCGGCAATAACTGCCTAAAATAACGATTGATTAGTTCAAAATTAGGCATCAGGTGGAGTATATTTAGGAGGGGTATATTTCACTGTGACAGAAACTCTTCCCTTTTATTCTCTCTCGTCTTGTTCTATAATACAGTATTACATGAAAGTACTAAAGATCTTTCCAGATTCCTGCACCAAAACATTTCATAACGGCGTTACATTCCTCAGTCTAAGCCCTCGGTGAGTTCCTTCAGTACCTGTTCCAAACTCTGGCTAAAAAACTCATTGTTATTACAACCTGTGCAAACTGTCGCAGTGGATTAAGTCTCTGCTGTCACAGCGTCAGTCTCACATGGTTCGGCCTGTAATTGGCCGCTGCTGCAGCCCCAGAGAACAGCAAACGCTCACTGCAGCGAGCGGTCTCTGGCTGCTGTGAGCTGTGTTTACTCTGCCTGTATACAGAAAATAGTTGTTAGCTGCCGTGTTTTTATTATCGTTATTATGACTAAAGCATCTCCATGTCTACTGAGTAAGGTCAGTCTGCAGATGACGGCCTCCAGATCTGCCAGGGAGGTTCCAGGTTTTGTAAATTTAGAAAGGCCCCGCAGTCACATTTTGATGTACTTAGATCAGAGGAAAGTCAAAAATTAGAAAGAGCTGTGAACTCTCTGAAAAGCACCTCAGATGTTTTCACTTTCACTTTTCTATTCACTTGGTGTCTATTCTATTCTATTCTGAGTCACTAATAAAACTTTTGTTTAGACCTTTTTAACTGACACAGACTGACCAAACAGAACAGTCCTTTAAAACAGTGGACTCCAACCACCGGGCAGTGGACCAGTACCAGGTCGTCATTTGGTACTGAGTTACACAATTTTTTTTTTTTACATGGTATTTTTTTCCCCAGTAAAATAGAAATTAAATTGCACAATTAAAAAAAAATTAATTATGTTGACATTATAGTTCTAATGATTAAATAATATGCGATGCACTTCATTATTTAATTCTTTTTTTCCTTTTCACACACCAACATACACCCCTGCTGCTTTACCACCAGTGGTGGAGAGAGTTGATAATAAAATAAATGTAGCGAAACAACAGGATGTCTAAATATATATTAACTGAAACAACATAAAAGTACATTTACCAATTTCGCAAATGGGTTTGAAAAAGGTTTGCAGTGACAGAAAACGGCACAGATGTTCATCAGCCACAATTAATTAAATGTGTTGTTTCCTAGGGAACTACAGATTGTTATTAATACCAATAATCCATTAAACTCCATGTTTTCCTAGGGAACTACAGATTGTTATGATTACCAATAATCCATTAAACTCCATGTTTACTCTGAGACCTTCTCTCCTCCACACCTCCTTGGTCCATAAAGAAAGGAGTCTTGCACAAGCCAGTGGTTGTTACGTGTCAGTTTTTCAAACAATCAACCTTTAAAAAATAGAGAAATATCCCTTTATTGTATTGTTTATTAATATGTGAGTTAGAGTCTTTCAGACCATTCAGCTCCTCTGATTTTTTTTTTTTTGTATCCTAACCTGATACTGTATATACTGTAAACTATTATTAACATTTATTAGCAGAGGAAGTGTAAGAATAATCACCACGTCGGTCAGTTAACACTCTGGTCATCAAACCGCTGCCAAACTGGAAACGTCCGTTGATGGACGTGATTAAACTAACTGTCTTGTGTTGGAACTGTGATCATTTTCCCATTTTATTTTTCATCAGTTGTGACAGAATCCGTTACGACCTCGACCAGACTGTCTTCCCTGCCTCCAAGTGAGTGTCTCTTCCCTTCACTTCCGCTGTTTTTTAATTCACTCTCTGCAAATTACAAGCATAAAAGGATAGTTAGAGCCTACTGTTCTTTAGAGGAAGTACCCGCTGAGTAACTGCCTCTCCTTGTTTTCCTTTTGTGTCTTGTCGTTGCTAGAGGGAACCAGCGGCTCAAATCACAGAATTATGTCCAGCAGTGCTGGAGGGCTGGGCCTGGAGAAAAATGTCTTAACCCAGAACAGCGGTGCGACCTACTTCTCCTCCTGTAAGAGCAACTCTCCACCCACGGGGTCAAAGTTAGGAAGTTGAGCAACTGCGTCTGGAAAAATTTGACAATGATAAAAGACTTCCATCAGACAGAAAATCATTTTTTTCATTGGGTTTGTTTTATTTTTTACAGAAATGTGTTAATGATAAATACACGCACATCAAAGTATATCTGCAGTATCTGCTCTTAAATATACAAATGTTAATTTATTACTCGGTGAACAATTAATTATTTACACTACGAATAGACTTTGTTAGTATTGATATGACTGTGTTATGATTAACACAGTTCATAATTTGTACTTGCTTGACATGATGTCACTTAAGTGAAAATGATGATGTTCCTCAATCTATTTTTATGAGTTGGAAAAAACACATTTTCAATCCGAAAAATCAAAAAATAAATGTAAATATAGGATTTTAAAACCTAATAATATCAACGTTCAACTGTTTAGATAGAAATCATAAGATTTTTAAATATTTTTATGTAATATAAAAAATGATAACCTAATAGATATGACACTGTTCAACCTTAGAGAATCATCTCTACATATAAATAATTGTCAAAACTACAAATAAATCTCCACATCGATCCTTAGTTTGAACTACTTTTAAGGATTGGAGAGTGGTTCTCCGAGGCTCTGACACCTTATCAGCCTCTCAAACCCGGCTAACTGCTGAATGTGCTGGGGCCAAGCAGGCACATGCTCAGTATAAACATATAAACACAGATATTAAACTAATTTTAGCCTGACTTACGGGTACGCTATCTTCAGAATGTGTCTGCCTTTTTATCACATCATGACACAGCCTTTACCCACTGGATACTGAAGCTCGTGTTGGTCCCTACCTGCTCACACAAAGAGAAATGTGTGTTTAAAATAAAAAATGACATAACAAAAAAGAAAATTTGGTCAACCAACAAATAAATGCTTTAATTTTGTTAAGTAAGTTTTTACTTTAAAAAAACATGCACGTTACAGTATCTCTTAAAGTGCTCATAATATCATTACAAGTACTATGCAACAGGTCGGTCTCTTGCCTCAGAGCCTCTGTTTACCCAATGCATTCTCTATAGGGTTTATTATAACAGAAGACTCTAATTTATGCTTCTCTGTGTTTAACTGTCCATGTTGCATTGTACTTGTTTTTATATTTTGAAATTAATAATCAATTAATAATCAATTGTCCAATAGCCACAATGTAGTCAAATCACCATAATTGGATGACTCAGTGAGCTAACAGTTGTTACATTTCTCTTTTCAGTTCCTCGTCTACTGGCTACTCTAATATTGAGTTTTTCTTTTTATCCATTTTCAGCCTCCGTTGGCAATTTCAGCTCCTCCTCGGGAGTTTACCTAACGGGAGACTCCTCAGGGGGAGGTGATGGTCTGGGGGGTTACTTAGAAGGTGATGGCTACGGAAGTGGAGGAGGAACCGCAGGAGGAGGAAGCAGTTATCATGTGACGTCAGTGTCAAAGGTCAGGTCCAGTTCGTCTGGCGGGGGCAGGAGAGTGCAAACTGCTGGCTCGTCAGGCGGTCTGTCACCAGGCTTCAGGGAGAGGAAGATCGTATCCAGCCGCTCCGCAGGTTATGATGGTGAGACACATTTATGGAGTTACATAATATCGGATAGAAAATGACACAGAACCTCTAACATTTCTTCTGTTTTCTTATATTTCAGGAAGCTCAAGTGCTAATTCTTCTCCAGAATTCACGCGCAAGGATTATGGAATCTACTGTAAGACAGAGGGCAAAAGATGGAATTCCATTCCTGATGAGTTTCCTCTGTTTTACCGTTGTGTGTACTCAGTCTTTCTCTCTTGTCTTGTTTTGTCTTTTCAGGCTCCAGCGGTAGCAGAGGGAGGAGCGAAAGCCGAGGTATTCACTGATCGTTTCTTCCATTATTCTGCATCATGTGACCCCGGCTCATCCTGGCTCAAACTTTTATTAAAGCTGGATCCTTTTTTTTTCCATTGTGTCTCATGTCTTTTTCCAGAGAGCGAGATCAGAGCCAGATTACAAAGTGCTTCGCCCACGGCCTGCAGATGTAAGACCACTGAGATCGGACACCTCCGAAATCAACAAAGCTCCTTTATTTCCCACTCTCCATTCATGTCCACTGCGGCAGTAAAGGCTTTTACTACACGGTCCCCGTCAGAGCAATGCTGAATTATGATGCTGTCAAATCCTCTGGCAGAGTTCACACTATAGATCACGCACAGCGCATTCTTTCCCACTAGATAGCACATATGCAGTCCTGCTGACGGACTGACAAACTTAGTATCGGTGAAAAGAGAAAGAGAGGGCAGCTCCAAACAGGGAGCTTTTAGTGGGTTTGTGTGCGTATGTGTTGTACTTAGGGATGGAGTTCTGTGGTGGCAACAATGGCACACATGAGTCACTGTGTTCAAGAATGTCCAGTTTGAATCCAAACAGTGGAGAATTGGGGTTTTTTAGACTTTGGTTGCTCCCTCTGCTGATAAAAGTGTGGAACTGCTCATCGCTCACACATATTTATACCAGTAAGTCAGTATTTGACACCTTCAGAGTACACCCCAGCTGGGTGTCATCAACCATGATGTGGTGTTTTGTACTGGTGGAAGAAACAGTATGTCCTTTTTTATTATTCTAACGGCATGTTATTTTGACTTAGTACTCACTCTTGAGTAAATGTAACGACAGTAATACTGAGCAAGAAGCAGTTGTTGCTTGTCTTCTGACTAGGGGTCACATAGTTTTAAACCAGACACCCCTTGTGAAAACTCTTCTTAGGACTGAGGACTAGTAGGTAAATAATCTAGTTAATGTATTTCTGTAATTTTCAAAAGACATACTTTGAAAAAAAAAAATCAGTTCTGGAGCACATTTAGGCATTTTCCATGTAATGGTTCCAATAGTTTTTCCATTATTTTTTCTAAACAGTTTCTTTATTCAATCCAGTATAGTGACTTATAAATACTGTAGTTACGAGACATTACTAAAACAGAAGTACTGGGTTTGAGGCTGTTTTTCTCCTGCACTCAGTATGTGTTCTGTAGGTTAGAGGAGCCACGGTCTGTGATGTCACAGTGCCCTTTCTTAAGCCTGGCTATAGAAGACAGAAGTTATGTGCCACATTTTACAGGGTCCGAATGACAGCAACAACTGTTGCAACAATGATTTATTAGTTCCGAAGAAACTAAGAAAAGAAGAAAAATGTAGGGTTAAGAAAAACTTAACCCTACATTACTGCCTATAAGCACCACATTAAGATTCATTGACAAACAAGCTGCATATTGTTAAAAAAACTTTACTTTTAAATGCTCAGAATAGACTACATACATAGCCTTATTGTCTTTGAAGACTTTGACTTCATACAGTGAAATAAAAATCAGCCTTATTGTCTTTGAAGACTTTGACTCAGGCTCTTGTTGTTTTTTTTCTGCAGGGACCGAGCTGGACGATGTGAAGAAGCTGCTGAAGGGACGTTCCAGCAGCGTCAGCCCCACTCGCTCCTCCAGTGCCTCCATCACACTTCCTGTTCCTAAAAAGGCCAGCTCAGACGTCAAGACCGTCTCCGTGGCCACACAGTCTGGTATAGAGTCGCAAACATGTGCACATGCCCAACGTGCACAGACATTATGTCTCCCGTCCACAGATTTATGGTTCAGCCTGACCCCCAGTGTGACACAGAGATCCTTTGTGACACTCTACTGCTATTTAACAAAACTGGAGTCACAGATTTTTCCTTAAAAACTATTCTTTATCTACCCAAAATAAATATTTCATGTGCAGTATTTCTTGAAGTTTGGGGAAACAGGAAGTGTTGTTGTTTGTGTAAACACTAGGGATGTCCAATAATATCAGCTCACTGATATAATTGGTTTGATATTAGCATAATTATATAATGTCTGTAAGAATCGTTATCGGTTTTTCCTCCGATATTGAAAACCTGATGCAATGCCTGGATTTTGCCAAATGATGTGTGCCCTAAAAATAGTTTTGGAGAAAAACGGCTGTATGTGAAAGTTAAAGCCACTAGATGGCAGCATTGCAGCTTATTTTAATAATGCATTTTAATAATCAGGGGATTGTATAAATACATATTACCAGGCCCTTATTAGTATTTGAATTGGGTGGGGGGGAAGAAGGGGTGGATGTTCTGTCCTCAAGGGTTTTAACCCATCACTTTAGAGAACAGGTGCACTTAACTTCCTTAACCACCAGGCCACCGATGCCCCGCTATATCGGTATCGGTTTATATTAATCGGAGTTTGGACAATATGGACATATCGGATATTAGCAAATAATTAATATCAGACATAAATGCGCTAAACAAATCTAGAAAAAAATTTCATGATGGACCTAAAAATCCTTCATAACTGCTAATTAAAAATGTATTTTTTCCATGATTTTCCACAGATTTTTTTTTCTCTGAACACCACTGTTCTGTTTGTGTTTGTTTCCTGCAGTTTCAACATTGGGCTCTGGTGTGAGAACCGGTGCCTTCAACGCCGTCGGTACCTCAGGCCTGTACGATACCGGTCTAGGGTCTGGGCAGTTTGATACTGGAACCAAATCAAGCCAGTATGATGTCACTGTGGTATCAGGCCAATATGACACTGGTGTAAAATCAGGCCAGTATGATGCCGGTCTCAGGTCAGGACAGTACGATACTGGCGTCAGTAGTATAAAACACGGCCAGTATGACACCAGCAGCAGCATGCGATCAGGGCAGTATGACACCAGCAGGTCAGGCCAGTACGACCTGCTGGACGCTGCACTACCAGCTTTCACTTGGTCCACCACCACGCTGCCTGCCGCCGGCACAGTGGCCACTGGGGGTACTAGCAGCTACAGCTACCAGGTCAGCACCAACAACAGGTCAGGAGCAGCTGTGGCAGTCTCCCCAACCTCACCCTCCTCTCTGTCAGGTGAGACCAGCAAATATAGATATATCTGTACTCGTAGTATTTTGATACAATGTCATATAAAATAATTGTATGCACATTAATATATATTTAAATAAGATTTACTTAAAATTAACTGTCATCTAATGCTAATGTAGAATTGCGCTAATTACAGTATTTCATGAAAATAAAGCTGCACAGTGTGTTGAAATGTATCATATAATCATATCATATATCAAATATAGTGCTGCTTTTCACATAATATATATTTATGTATACATTGCAGTGGTGGACAGTAACAAAGTATATGTAATTTGTTCCTGTACTTAAGTAACATATTAATGTGTCTGTACTTTACTCTAGTCTTTCTATTTGGTTACACTTTGTACTTTGACTCCACTACATTTTAAATCAAATTAATACTTTTTTACTCCATTACATCAGGGTGGTAGAAAGAAAAAAAAAACACTTTTAAAAAAGCAAGTGCTCCTTTGATAGGAAATATATGGCCCGACTTCTCTATTGCCCATATACAGATTAATACTGCCTCCTTTATGCACACCTCTTATTTCTGAAACGGCTTATTTCACTCTCACAATGTGTAGGAATGTAAAATAAGCTTGTGCCTTTTTTCCTTAAAGTACGGTACAAGTTTAAGTTCTAAGTAGATTTGTATATCGACTGACCGATGTTTTCGTCCCGATATAAGCATAATTATGTAAACTCTGTAATAATAGTCATCAGTTTTCCCTGTGATAATGAAAATCCGATAACGCAATGCCTGGCTTTTGCTAAATATAGATCGGTTGATATCGGAATTTGAAATTAGGTCCTTGGACAATGTCTGCATATCAAATATAAGGGAATGTTACCTAATGGTAAACTTGCCTCAACCATTTTGAAGGATGTTATGGTTATAAATTACTTAAGTTTTTAAAAGTTGGGTTTGTATATTGGATATTTTTGTTGTAATTGTATCTGTGTCCTGTTTCTACGATTTAATGAGAGTGTGTTTCTGTTCTTAGTTTATGGCTTCCAGAATAATCTGGCACCCACATCTGTCAGTGTGCTGACCACCAGCGGAGCCAACGTCAATGCTAACCTGGGAGGTACCGGAGCAGTATAACACTATCAATGATATTCACAGACAACCAGCGCAGTCTTGACGCATGTGTGTGTGTCTTACGTGTTTGGTTTTTTTTTTTGCCAGGATATGGTGTTCAGAAGAACGTGTCTGGCAGTGGTGTTGTCAGCTCAGGGGTGTCAACAAGTAAATTAAAAAAAAGTTCCCATAGTTAAAGCAACACTAACATTTTCCAAACCAAAAATAAAAAATCATTGTTGGTCTCTTTCAGCCACCAGGTCTCAGGCAGAGGAAACGTACAAGAATAGGTACGTGATCTCTGATAAGGAGAACGTTTCAGCCAAGAGGGAAGCAGAGATGCTGATTCTGGCCAAAGACAGTGGCAAACAGTTCACCACCGGTGGCAGCAGTGTTCACATAGGAGGAGGTGAGTCACCCATTCACGGGCCACTCCAAGGACCGTCATTGTTTGATGTGATTTACAATAAAAGAAGAAACACAGTCAGAAACAATGAGCAGCTGCTTCAAACAGATTCAGGCTTTAGGTTTCCTTTCATGTTATTTAACATTGTTAAAAGAAATCAGAGATACTTATCTGTATAATATCTTAATAAATAAGCCAAATAAACTAACAAAAATAAATTATTCTTCTGACTGATGGTGCTGTATTAAAGCCAGTCTTAAGAGTTAAATTTGATATTTTTAGTCTTTTTTTTTGTTAAATCTATTTAAGCTCTATCTCTAAAGTATTGTGTTTTAAAATAGAAAACAGTAGATGAATACTCTTTATATTCCCAAATTTTATTGAATAAATGATAAAGTAAATGTTTATTCTATTTTGATTACCTTGTATGTTTCATTGCTTACCACTTCCTGTGAAAAGATACCTCTGTATGTTCTAGTACTGCGATAGGACTATTGTTAAAACGGGACATTTAAGGAATATGTAGGGCGCCATCTAGTGGCAATTCCTATAATAAAATGAGATGAAAGCGAGAAATATTTTTTCAAAATAGCAAAAATTGAGATAACAATTATTAATTATTAATTATTAATATATTATAATAGCGTATTCTCCGTCTTATTCTGGATTCTATTGTTTTTTGTGTTTGGTCTTTTTACAAAACTGTGGCTGGAAAAAGAAAATTTAAGCTTAAAGTATCTAAAAATGTTCCTTGTTTCTACAGGCTCAATTTTTTTAAGCTTAAAGTATCTAAAAAACATGTTCCTTGTTTCTACAGGCTCAATTTCTGGAGATTCCATAAAAAAAGAGAAGATCCTTTCCAGCTATAGTGAGACGGCTCCTCTGAAGACGGAGACACACGGTCCCTACTGTGAGCTAGTCTCAGCTGTGACAACAACTCTGACTGTTGATGTTTTATTCGACATAGTGTACATTGTTGGTTTCTTATTTCTGTTTACAGACGGATCTGGAGTTGTGATGAAAGACAAAGCTACCTATGCAGGTATTTTGATTTCTTGCAGTTTATTTTTGCACATATACACTCTATACAGTTGGTACTCTGAATTAAAATCACTCAAAAATCAAAAAGTCATTCCTAAGTATTACTAGTACTAGTACTAGTACCACAGCAAGAGTTTCTCCACAAACTCTGGAAATTGGATGTGATGATAATTTAATGATGAAACATGTTAGAAAAAAAATACTGAATTAAATCACATTTTTACCTGTAGGGGCAGTGTGTAGCACACACTAGTTACAGTAACTGTTTAAAAAAAAAAAAAAGTTTTCTATTAATATTTTCCCCATTTGCTGTTTTAACAACACTATGTTGCTTTACCTGATGTAACAATCTTGTAATTTAAGTTATGTAACATTCTATAATGTAACAATACATAACATTATGTTACATTTCAAGACTGTGTGTTGTTGTGGTTCAAAATGTACAAACACTAAATGACATAATTTGACTTTGTGTTACCTTACGTCACATTAACTTACATTACCTTTACCTGAGGTTATTTTGTGTTGTGTTACGTTATGTTATCTCACCTAATTGTATTGAGTTGAATGTGATGTCCTCCCTGCAGAGATTCACAGAGACAGCGGTATTTTCGGAGGCGGGGGATTCTGCTGCTGCTCTGATGCTTGTTGCTCCTGGTGGAAATGGCTGCTGGGACTTCTCCTTCTTGGCCTTCTCCTGCTGGGACTCCTGTTTGGACTCATTGCACTGGGTATGATTCAGATATAGCTTGCAACACCATGAGTATCACCAGGGGTTCAGAAATCTAAATCAGAAAAAAAATTCATCGCTTCCTGGAACAGAAACTTATAAGCATATGCCAATGGAATTGTAAACATAGGAGACATTGTCTCAGAAGGACAATGGCCTGGACATCTTAAACTGTCCAATTCAGTTAACAGGGAAAAATAAAAATTCTGCACTCACATTTTTCTCCATGGAGCTGCTCAGCCGTAAAGTTGCAGGGAGTGTCTCTATTTGGACCAATAAAATGTGCTCCAGTTTTTTTACAAGCTGGTGAGCATTATTTCATGGTGCTGCTAAGAACTGTGGGAGAGAAGATGTAGTCCTCTCCCTGGAGATTTGATCTCTGGGTGCTCTCCTGCTGCCACAAAGTCGGTCTGGCACTCTGTCTTTGGAGCCGCTCCAGGAATAGCTGGCTGATGACATCAGAGGCTGGGTGTTGTTTTTCCTTGTAGCTGACTTGTAGTAACAATAACAGCTGATATTTGAAATAGTAATTTATTCCTGATTAAAAATGGTCAAGATTACAGTATAAGGAAGTTGACGATCCCTTCTTGTTATGTATAGGTGTGAAAGGCCGGTGTGTTGTCGCTGCCTGTGGACATGTCACCTGATACTGTTGATCACTGAGAGCTGACCGAGTGAACTCAGTGTCGCTACACTCTGTGAACCTGCAGCTAAAAAGTTTTCGTAATTTTTCAAAATCATAAATTAAACTCTAATACCTATGTTTTTCATGTAAATGTTATAAAACTAACATATTCAGAACATGTGAAGTAAGTGCTAGCCTTAATAAATAAAACCTCATTGTGTATAAAGCACACCCTAAAATAAAGTTAACCTGCTTTAAAGTACTCATAAGTTACCCTGAATAAACGCTGCAAAAATGAACAAAGCTACATATTTAGCTTATATATAGCGGGTGTGTCGAACATACGGCCTGCGGACCAAAACCGGCACGCTAGAGGTTTCCATCCAGCTTCATCCTTGATGAATTTTGAAAATGAAAAAATACACAAACACTTCATGGTCAGGATATGTTTTGTAAAATTATATTTCATTAAATATGAAGATTTATCTCATGTTGCATGAAAACAAAGGGATAAAACATGGACTTATTGTTACTCATAGGTAATTATGTTTATGATGATTGTACTGGTCTGGCCCTCTTGACATCTAATTAGTTTGTATGCGGCCCCTGAACAACATGTGTACTGACTGTGTGTTGACTGTAGAAGTACTGGATATACTGGGTACTTGCATGAATATTTTAAATCTGATAAAAATCTAAAAATGTCAACCCATTTATTCCAAAGTTGATGTCTCCTTTCCCAGCTGAGGACGTGAGGAAGCTAAAGAATCGAGTGTCGACTTTGGAGGCTGAGTCTTCTGTCGCTGCTGCACGTACCAGTCGACTGTCAGGATCTTCTTCAACCATTAACATCGCAGGAGCAGGAGCAGGAGCAGGAGCAGCAGGTGGAGGTGGTTCCCACACTGACAACACATTACTTTATGCTGGAGGTGGAGGTGCAGGTTCGGGCACCAGTTCACGCATTGGAATAGCTGCAGGAACTGGCAGCTCCTCAGGTAGCAATGGCAACGAAATCGGTGTTGGTGTTGGGGTTGGAGCTGGAGCCGGTGGCACAGCAGGCGGTGCTGTGTTGGGGTTGGAGCCGGAGCCGGTGGCACAGCAGGCGGTGCTGGTGGGTCCAGTGGTTCTGGAAGTACTGGAGTTTCCGGTGGTTCTGGAGGTACCAGTGGCTCCAGAGTTTCCAGTGGCACAAGTGTTTCCAGTGGAACCAGTGTTGGAGCAGGAACCTTGGGTGGTGCTGGTGCTGGTACTGGTGGTGGTACTGGGACCAGCTCTGGCGGTGCCGTCTTGAGTGGAAGTGCGGGCAGTACTGGCTCTGGTTACGGCGGAGGAACCGGCTTTGGGACTATTGTTTTGAGTGGAGGACAGGTCGATACTGCTGCTCTCCACATGATGATTCAGCACATGCTCAGAACAGAGATGCAGTCAGCAACATTCAGAGGTAACACACATACACACACACACACACACATATAATCAGGGTGGTAGAAAGAAAAAAAAAACACTTTTAAAAAAGCAAGTGCTCCTTTGATAGGAAATATATGGCCCGACTTCTCTATTGCCCATATACAGATTAATACTGCCTCCTTTATGCACACCTCTTATTTCTGAAACGGCTTATTTCACTCTCACAATGTGTAGGAATGTAAAATAAGCTTGTGCCTTTTTTCCTTAAAGTACGGTACAAGTTTAAGTTCTAAGTAGATTTGTATATCGACTGACCGATGTTTTCGTCCCGATATAAGCATAATTATGTAAACTCTGTAATAATAGTCATCAGTTTTCCCTGTGATAATGAAAATCCGATAACGCAATGCCTGGCTTTTGCTAAATATAGATCGGTTGATATCGGAATTTGAAATTAGGTCCTTGGACAATGTCTGCATATCAAATATAAGGGAATGTTACCTAATGGTAAACTTGCCTCAACCATTTTGAAGGATGTTATGGTTATAAATTACTTAAGTTTTTAAAAGTTGGGTTTGTATATTGGATATTTTTGTTGTAATTGTATCTGTGTCCTGTTTCTACGATTTAATGAGAGTGTGTTTCTGTTCTTAGTTTATGGCTTCCAGAATAATCTGGCACCCACATCTGTCAGTGTGCTGACCACCAGCGGAGCCAACGTCAATGCTAACCTGGGAGGTACCGGAGCAGTATAACACTATCAATGATATTCACAGACAACCAGCGCAGTCTTGACGCATGTGTGTGTGTCTTACGTGTTTGGTTTTTTTTTTTGCCAGGATATGGTGTTCAGAAGAACGTGTCTGGCAGTGGTGTTGTCAGCTCAGGGGTGTCAACAAGTAAATTAAAAAAAAGTTCCCATAGTTAAAGCAACACTAACATTTTCCAAACCAAAAATAAAAAATCATTGTTGGTCTCTTTCAGCCACCAGGTCTCAGGCAGAGGAAACGTACAAGAATAGGTACGTGATCTCTGATAAGGAGAACGTTTCAGCCAAGAGGGAAGCAGAGATGCTGATTCTGGCCAAAGACAGTGGCAAACAGTTCACCACCGGTGGCAGCAGTGTTCACATAGGAGGAGGTGAGTCACCCATTCACGGGCCACTCCAAGGACCGTCATTGTTTGATGTGATTTACAATAAAAGAAGAAACACAGTCAGAAACAATGAGCAGCTGCTTCAAACAGATTCAGGCTTTAGGTTTCCTTTCATGTTATTTAACATTGTTAAAAGAAATCAGAGATACTTATCTGTATAATATCTTAATAAATAAGCCAAATAAACTAACAAAAATAAATTATTCTTCTGACTGATGGTGCTGTATTAAAGCCAGTCTTAAGAGTTAAATTTGATATTTTTAGTCTTTTTTTTTGTTAAATCTATTTAAGCTCTATCTCTAAAGTATTGTGTTTTAAAATAGAAAACAGTAGATGAATACTATTTATATTCCCAAATTTTATTGAATAAATGATAAAGTAAATGTTTATTCTATTTTGATTACCTTGTATGTTTCATTGCTTACCACTTCCTGTGAAAAGATACCTCTGTATGTTCTAGTACTGCGATAGGACTATTGTTAAAACGGGACATTTAAGGAATATGTAGGGCGCCATCTAGTGGCGATTCTTATAATAAAATAAGACGAAAGCGAGAAATATTTTTTCAAAATAGCAAAAATTGAGATAACAATTATTAATTATTAATTATTAATATATTATAATAGCGTATTCTCCGTCTTATTCTGGATTCTATTGTTTTTTGTGTTTGGTCTTTTTACAAAACTGTGGCTGGAAAAAGAAAATTTAAGCTTAAAGTATCTAAAAATGTTCCTTGTTTCTACAGGCTCAATTTCTGGAGATTCCATAAAAAAAGAGAAGATCCTTTCCAGCTATAGTGAGACGGCTCCTCTGAAGACGGAGACACACGGTCCCTACTGTGAGCTAGTCTCAGCTGTGACAACAACTCTGACTGTTGATGTTTTATTCGACATAGTGTACATTGTTGGTTTCTTATTTCTGTTTACAGACGGATCTGGAGTTGTGATGAAAGACAAAGCTACCTATGCAGGTATTTTGATTTCTTGCAGTTTATTTTTGCACATATACACTCTATACAGTTGGTACTCTGAATTAAAATCACTCAAAAATCAAAAAGTCATTCCTAAGTATTACTAGTACTAGTACTAGTACCACAGCAAGAGTTTCTCCACAAACTCTGGAAATTGGATGTGATGATAATTTAATGATGAAACATGTTAGAAAAAAAATACTGAATTAAATCACATTTTTACCTGTAGGGGCAGTGTGTAGCACACACTAGTTACAGTAACTGTTTAAAAAAAAAAAAAAGTTTTCTATTAATATTTTCCCCATTTGCTGTTTTAACAACACTATGTTGCTTTACCTGATGTAACAATCTTGTAATTTAAGTTATGTAACATTCTATAATGTAACAATACATAACATTATGTTACATTTCAAGACTGTGTGTTGTTGTGGTTCAAAATGTACAAACACTAAATGACATAATTTGACTTTGTGTTACCTTACGTCACATTAACTTACATTACCTTTACCTGAGGTTATTTTGTGTTGTGTTACGTTATGTTATCTCACCTAATTGTATTGAGTTGAATGTGATGTCCTCCCTGCAGAGATTCACAGAGACAGCGGTATTTTCGGAGGCGGGGGATTCTGCTGCTGCTCTGATGCTTGTTGCTCCTGGTGGAAATGGCTGCTGGGACTTCTCCTTCTTGGCCTTCTCCTGCTGGGACTCCTGTTTGGACTCATTGCACTGGGTATGATTCAGATATAGCTTGCAACACCATGAGTATCACCAGGGGTTCAGAAATCTAAATCAGAAAAAAAATTCATCGCTTCCTGGAACAGAAACTTATAAGCATATGCCAATGGAATTGTAAACATAGGAGACATTGTCTCAGAAGGACAATGGCCTGGACATCTTAAACTGTCCAATTCAGTTAACAGGGAAAAATAAAAATTCTGCACTCACATTTTTCTCCATGGAGCTGCTCAGCCGTAAAGTTGCAGGGAGTGTCTCTATTTGGACCAATAAAATGTGCTCCAGTTTTTTTACAAGCTGGTGAGCATTATTTCATGGTGCTGCTAAGAACTGTGGGAGAGAAGATGTAGTCCTCTCCCTGGAGATTTGATCTCTGGGTGCTCTCCTGCTGCCACAAAGTCGGTCTGGCACTCTGTCTTTGGAGCCGCTCCAGGAATAGCTGGCTGATGACATCAGAGGCTGGGTGTTGTTTTTCCTTGTAGCTGACTTGTAGTAACAATAACAGCTGATATTTGAAATAGTAATTTATTCCTGATTAAAAATGGTCAAGATTACAGTATAAGGAAGTTGACGATCCCTTCTTGTTATGTATAGGTGTGAAAGGCCGGTGTGTTGTCACTGCCTGTGGACATGTCACCTGATACTGTTGATCACTGAGAACTGACCGAGTGAACTCAGTGTCGCTACACTCTGTGAACCTGCAGCTAAAAAGTTTTCGTAATTTTTCAAAATCATAAATTAAACTCTAATACCTATGTTTTTCATGTAAATGTTATAAAACTAACATATTCAGAACATGTGAAGTAAGTGCTAGCCTTAATAAATAAAACCTCATTGTGTATAAAGCACACCCTAAAATAAAGTTAACCTGCTTTAAAGTACTCATAAGTTACCCTGAATAAACGCTGCAAAAATGAACAAAGCTACATATTTAGCTTATATATAGCGGGTGTGTCGAACATACGGCCTGCGGACCAAAACCGGCACGCTAGAGGTTTCCATCCAGCTTCATCCTTGATGAATTTTGAAAATGAAAAAATACACAAACACTTCATGGTCAGGATATGTTTTGTAAAATTATATTTCATTAAATATGAAGATTTATCTCATGTTGCATGAAAACAAAGGGATAAAACATGGACTTATTGTTACTCATAGGTAATTATGTTTATGATGATTGTACTGGTCTGGCCCTCTTGACATCTAATTAGTTTGTATGCGGCCCCTGAACAACATGTGTACTGACTGTGTGTTGACTGTAGAAGTACTGGATATACTGGGTACTTGCATGAATATTTTAAATCTGATAAAAATCTAAAAATGTCAACCCATTTATTCCAAAGTTGATGTCTCCTTTCCCAGCTGAGGACGTGAGGAAGCTAAAGAATCGAGTGTCGACTTTGGAGGCTGAGTCTTCTGTCGCTGCTGCACGTACCAGTCGACTGTCAGGATCTTCTTCAACCATTAACATCGCAGGAGCAGGAGCAGGAGCAGGAGCAGCAGGTGGAGGTGGTTCCCACACTGACAACACATTACTTTATGCTGGAGGTGGAGGTGCAGGGTCGGGCACCAGTTCACGCATTGGAATAGCTGCAGGAACTGGCAGCTCCTCAGGTAGCAATGGCAACGAAATCGGTGTTGGTGTTGGTGTTGGGGTTGGAGCCGGAGCCGGTGGCACAGCAGGCGGTGCTGGTGGGTCCAGTGGTTCTGGAAGTACTGGAGTTTCCGGTGGTTCTGGAGGTACCAGTGGCTCCAGAGTTTCCAGTGGCACAAGTGTTTCCAGTGGAACCAGTGTTGGAGCAGGAACCTTGGGTGGTGCTGGTGCTGGTACTGGTGGTGGTACTGGGACCAGCTCTGGCGGTGCCGTCTTGAGTGGAAGGGCGGGCAGTACTGGCTCTGGTTACGGCGGAGGAACCGGCTTTGGGACTATTGTTTTGAGTGGAGGACAGGTCGATACTGCTGCTCTCCACATGATGATTCAGCACATGCTCAGAACAGAGATGCAGTCAGCAACATTCAGAGGTAACACACATACACACACACACACACACATATATATGCCCACATATACTGTATACACACATGCATCCATTTTTTTTGTTCAATTGTTTTTTTGTCTGTTTCAGCTTTCGTAGCTAACTCAGCTCAGGGCGAGCGAGGACTTCCTGGTCCTAAAGGTAAAATTAAAAACAAAAAATATCAAGTATCAGTTTTATTTAACACTTATAAAATGTGTTACAGTACAAAATGTTTTTTTTAAATGTCATAAAATATTTTTTTTAATTTTCTGCTTTTGTTAAATTTAAATCCTTGTTTGTCTTATAACAGGTGAAAGTGGATATCCTGGAATTCCAGGTGAGGAATCACAACCATGTTTTTATATTTATCGATGATCAGCGTTGTACAGTATTACAATGTTTTTTCTGACTGTGTCCTCAGGTCCTCCAGGCCATGAAGGGCCTAAAGGGCAGAAGGGAAGCCAAGGTAAAAAAAAATCATTTCCATCTTCCCCTGTCTTGGCTGTGGTCAGTGTGTGAGTGTGTTTGTCATACACCTGTGCAGGTGAAGCTGGTGAACAAGGCCTGAGAGGTCGTGAAGGTCAGACTGGCCCCCGAGGTGAGCCAGGTCCTCCAGGATTTGGAATGAAAGGAGACAGAGGTAGGACTCGGCAGAACCCCAGCAGTGACCGAAATTATTTTAACTCCAGAACAGTGAGTCACTGCTGGACTTCTGACTTCTTTGGTTTAATGCAGGTTCTCCTGGAGATCTCGGACCTGTCGGCCCAGCTGGACCAAAAGGTGACATTCATGAATACATTTTTAAATTATACAGAACAACAGAAATATAGACTTGTGTAACACACGCCACTAGATGGCAGTGCATTTTCCTGGCAAAGGCCAAAACTTCAACAAAGCTCCACAGATAGTGATATCCAGATATTTCCTTTTACCATGGTCAAAAAAACCCCAATGCTGCTTCACCATTTGAACTCTCAACTCCATTAATCGTCTAAATGTGTAGATTAGTCCTTATTTTTACACTACTTTCTTAGATTCCAGTTAAAACTACATTGCATTGAGACAAATTATTATTTCTTTCTGATCTGAAACTTATCTTTCTTTTCTCCAGGCCCAGCAGGAACTCCTGGCCTTGCAGGTCAGTTTCTTTCTTCTGTTTTGTATTTTATTTTAAATTTCCTGTTTCCCTAAATTGAAACCACCAAACTGAAGTTGTGGTAATATTTAATTGTGATTCTGACATTCTGTGTGAAAACCTCTCATGTTGCAGGACAACCTGGTTCTCAGGGTTTCCGTGGCGAGGCAGGACCACCTGGACCTAAAGGTTCATGACACGATAGTGAAGTTTTACTTTCCTCACTACAGTGAAGTCGTCATTGTTTATAACTGTATGGTTGTGTTTTTACCCTGCAGGAGACAGAGGACTTCCTGGATTCCAAGGAGCTAAAGGTTTGTTGTCACTGTGACATGGTTTTTACAGCATGATTTTTTTTTCTCATAAAGACTGGATTATTTGCTTTTTTTCAGGTGACCCAGGTGACAAGGGTATCCGGGGTATGCAAGGTCAGTGAGTTTTTCTCTGTGTTTTTGTGAAATTGCTGTGTTGTAATAATACTGTGTGTTTGATCACTCTAATATTGTTGTGCTACATCTCAGGTGACCCTGGTTTACCTGGTCTTGTTGGACCAGCTGGAGAAAAAGGAGCCAAAGGATCAGCAGGTGAGGATCAGAACCACTGACAGAAAATAATTCTCATTTCATTCAGAATGAAATTGTAACTCCTCCGGCTTAAATCCATGTCGACATCATAAAAACAAACAAACAATCTCTATGCCTTGCAGCTCTAAAAACACCTTTCTGATTTTTCCTCAGGAGTGTCTGGACAAGATGGAGCGAAAGGATCAAGAGGTTCATTTTCATAATGATGTTTTAATCTCATATATTTGTCAATTTACACATTGACACAAAACACATCATCGTAGTTTGATTTGTAATGTTTCCTTATTCAAAATTTAACCCAAGGTGACCAAGGACATTCTGGTCCCCCTGGACTCAGAGGTCCTGCTGGTCCCCCAGGAGATTCTGGAATTCCAGGTAACTTAACCCCAAGGTTGTTATTGAGTTTATCATAAGAAGACAATATGAAAAAAAGTTTTTAAAATACTATCTATGCCTCCTAGGAACACCTGGATTACAAGGACCACCAGGTATGGTATATACTTAATTTATCTCTCTATTTATTTATTTATTTATTTTTGTAGACAAAAAACTTAAGCTCTCAATTCTAAATTGTAATCACATGTTATTTTAGGAATACCAGGAAACCCAGGACAACCAGGAAGCAAAGGTAAAACTGGATTTTGCGTGAGCCTGAAGTAAATTATTTCCTCTGCCAAATATGAAGCTCGTTTTTCTGACAAACACATATGTCATTTGTCTTTAGGCGAGACAGGTCCACCAGGGAGAATCATCAACGCAGGTATGAGAAAATCTCCAATAAAAAACAGCTTCAGTCATTTAATGACGTTAATGGTTCCTGAGCTAACCTTTAGCTCTTTTCTTCAGCCGGTTCCTCATCTGTTGGCATCCCCGGACCACCTGGGCCTGCTGGTCCTCCTGGTCCTGCTGGACCTCCTGGTTTATCAGGTCTGAACCTCAATGTCTTACAAATTAGTATGGTGTAGTATGTCCTATCACGAGTGACGTTTTATTACCTGTTGGATTACATCCTTAGGTCCCATTGGTCCTGCAGGTCTGCCAGGTCAGCCTGGTACGTTCATCAAATTTTTATTTATTTTTTTTTTTTTGCGCAACAAACACTTTGTACAAGTCTATATTGAATTGTTTGTTTGTCCTCACAGGTCCTAAAGGTGACAGAGGATATAAGGGAGACCAGGGTGAAGCTGGCGTGACAGCGAGATTGACTGAGTCTGTTTCATCCAGCAGGACTGAGAGTAAGATAAAATCCATCCATCCATCCATCTGTTACTTTTACAGTACTGACATTAAGATGCACTACCAAGTTTGGCCACTAGTGGCAGCTGCTCAAATATTTTGAATGGGATGGATAAATTACATCAAATGTTATGATCTTGTTTCAGGTCAGTTTGGAGCCAGTGGATCCTCCAGACTATCTGGACAACCTGGCCCACCAGGTCCACCTGGACCTCCTGGACGTCCAGGTAAATGTGCCCAGAGGATGCCTCTGCAATTGTATTATTCATGAAACACCCATGTTCCTGTGCAGTGATGTAAAAGGTTGTTCTATTTGTATTAATATTTTCATCAATGTTTCCTGCAGGTGATTCCAGGCCAGGACCTCCAGGACCACCTGGACCTCCAGGTCCAACAGGCAAGTAGTTGCTGTACTTTTATTGAATACATAGTACTATTTCGCCGTGTTTGTACGGATGTAGCTGTATGTATGTACACCAAAGCCTGCAGAGGTCACTGTCGCTGATATTTACTGCTGTCAGCTGTTTAATGCAAACTGCAGAAAATGGAGGAAACAGAATAATTCACAGTGACTGTACCTCTCCACTGCATTCCAAAGCCAAGCATCATGTTTCAACTAAATCTCAGTTAATCCATTCCTCAAACCCAAATTAAAATCCTTAATTGTAAGACACCTTTATTTAATTAATTTCTCTGCTGTGTGCAGTCTGTTTGTACAAATTTATTTCAATTAAAAATATTATTCTATTTATCAACCAGCACCATTATTTTACAATTAATTTACACAACAATCGGTAATTTAATTAAGAAACCACATAGAAACACGCAAGGGTGAACAGCTACAGTTCTACCACTAGAGGGAGCCCATGACTTTTTATTAGTTTTACATATATAACTAATAAAACTACAAATATACATGTATGTATGTATGTATATATGTACATATATATAAAGTTTTATTAGTTGTATTAGTTAAATGGTATATTTTAGTTTCTTACATTTTAGGACAGAGGTTAATTAATAACATTAATAACATGACATCTTCATAATTTCCCTCTTTAGGTTATGGTAGACCAGGGCCTAAAGGAGAAAAGGGAGACCCAGGTTTTTCATCCAGCTCTGGTATGATGCCAACACTTACATGATTATAATAACAAATAGCCAGAGAAGAAGAAAACTTAAACGACTGCTCCTCTTACAGGAACAGGAACATATTACACCGGACAACCAGGTCCACCTGGTCCACCTGGACTGCCTGGGACTAAAGGATCAACAGGTGATCAGATACTTTACTAATGTAGTTTTCACCTAACAAGATTAACTGTACCAGCACTTTGTCCTGACTTCCATGTTTTCCCTTCAGGTTCTCCTGGACCAAGAGGCTATCAAGGTAACTGCTGTAGACTGCGAATGACTCTTAGACCTCTGTTTATTAGCCCGGTTCTGTATTGATATCTCTGTCTGTTCATTCTGGTCTCAGGTGAACCAGGTCTGCCAGGAAGACCAGGAACCTCTGAGAGAGGTCAGCACAAAAACTACCCAACACCTGCGATGGATTGATGGACAAGTTATTAATTTAGTTTTCTTTTACAGTATCTACCCATACTGGAGGACATGCAATCCCTGGACCTCCTGGTCCACCAGGGCCCCCCGGACGTCCAGGACCACAAGGATTCAAGGGTAAACCAAACATAACACTGAAAAAATGTGTTTCTAGTTTTCTCTTTATATTTAAAAATATGTATTTTTCTAAACGTAATATATATTTAATGTGTATATTTGTCTTTATTCATATGTATATATATATATATTTGTTTAATAATTGTTTAATAATTCTTTAGGTGAACCTGGAATTCCAGGCTCTTCAGGTACAGACATCAAGTACTCTTTAACTGATTCTAAACTTTACTTGTTTTTCATCACTAACTAAAATCTTTATCTTTGTTCCTCAGGTGCCATTTCTGTCACTTCAGGACCTCCAGGTCCTCCAGGTCCCCCTGGACCTCCTGGATCTTTCTCAAGTTCTAGTGAAATGCGGCAGTATATTGTGGACTACCTCAGTAAGAGCTGTTTTGACGTGGTGTCACAGGCAGAGGACAGAACAGACTCTGAAAATGTATGGTTTTTTTTTTACCTACACAGGCAGAAGCAGGCAGTCCGGTATTCCAGGACCTCCAGGTCCACCTGGGCCTCCAGGAGTACCTGGAACTTTCACTGGCTCCATTGAGGACATCTCTGCTCGTATCATTGCATACCTACAGAGTAAGTACTAGTATGGTACTAGTAAGGGTTGGTCTGGATTTATTGTACTGTATCTTTAAATTTAGTGTGAAATTTCAGGGTCAGGATCAAGTTCAGGCCTTAGCATTGGAGTCCAGGGTCCTCCAGGACCACCTGGACCCCCAGGACCTGCCTCTGGATTCCAGTCAGTCAATGACCTCATTATCATGCTTCAGAGTAAGTACTTCACGTTAAATAAAAACCTAATTCGGAGCTGGAGTTGGACGTCCGACCTGGGAACACTTTCATTGTGTTGTGTTCAGGGGAAGATGTGAGGAGGTATTTGTCAGGACCACCAGGGCCGCAGGGACCACCAGGACCACCAGGGGCATCAGTTGGACTTTCTAGCAGTTACAGTGTAGAAGAGGTGGCCACTTACATCTTCAATATCATGAATGGTAGGCACGGCAGGAAATATGACTGCATCAACTCCCTGTGCTTGATCGAACATTCCGAATGAATTTTATTGGATTTTTTTTAGACAGAGGAATTGCTAGAGGACCACCTGGACCCCCTGGCCCCGCTGGTCCTCCAGGACCAACTAGTGCAAGAGGCACCGGCTACAGCAGCATAACAATCGACTATTCGGCACTGATGAAAAGTAAGGTTCTGACCTACATTCACTTAAAATGAGGTCAAGAATGTGGCAGAATTCCATCTGTTGTACAGGTTGATCCTCACTGTATTCTCCCTGTTCAACCAGATTCAGACTTCCGTTCCTGGATTACATCTGCTGTGCAACAAGGTGCTCCTGGTTCTCCAGGCCTCCCAGGTCAACCTGGTCCTCCTGGGCCTCAGGGGCCTCCTGGAGTCTCCACTGCCACCGTTATTGGAGCAGGAAATCGTGGCTATAGCCTGGAGGACATTCAGCGTTATCTGCAAGGTGAGTTTAGAAAAAACAACAAACAAACAGATGAACGTTACATTTGGTCAGTGACGAATAAACATAACCTTGACACCAGTCAATTCAACTGTGCATACAGACAACTCATAGAGTAACTGTGACACACACCAGGTATTACCAGCTGCATGTTTTTGACCATGCATCTACATCTGGCAACAACAAGCTAACTGACGGTCGTACTGGAGCTGATGCTAATGAACCCAGTGCCTTATGTTTTTCAAAAAATAAACAGAAGAAAAACAACTGTATTCCCACTAAAGCTGAGTTTCCAGAGAAACGTTCCATCTTTGTGGTTTTTTTTTTACCTCTTTGATTGACTTTCTATGCCATGTTAATGTATTCACTTTTATAAAGAACTGAAGAGTTTACTGAGTGCAGACCTCTTACTTTTTGTTACTAGATCATCTGCAAAAATCTAAACATTTCCCCCAGACATTCGGCCAACTAATACACTTCCAGAAAATCCAAACTAACTCTTTAAAATAACTTTTAAATAAGTGAATAATGTCCCTGGTGAAGATGTCAAAAAATAAGCAAAGAAACCAAAACTAATAGCCAAATTATCCTTTGTGATGAATTTTTATACATATTATAAATTATATTTTTATTCTATATTTTATGCCTCTAGTGTGCCAGATGATCATCATAGAATATACATTTATACCAAATTAAATATAAACTTTAATGCTCTAAAAAAGCTTCAAATAATTAAAAAAATTCATCTTTTATCCATTAAACTACAACCACCAAAGCAGGTTTATTTGATCTCTTAAACCTTTTGTGATGATGTTTCGCAGCCTTTCATGAAAACTGATCGTCTTTTTTTATGTCATGTTTTCAGGTTCTGGCTTCAGAGGTCTTCCTGGTCCTCCTGGTCCTCAGGGCCCCCAGGGACCACAGGGTCCACCGGGCGGTTCCAGCGGCTCAGTCACATACACTGGAAGCTTCCCAAGGGAGAGCATCCGTGCTGAGGTTCAGGAGTACCTGACCAGTGAGACGATTTCCTAGTCCTCTCCTCTCTGGGGTGTTGGGGTTTCATGATGTCACCAGTGCAGATTTGTCATCACAAACAAATCTTTTTTTTTCAGGTGACAATGTTCGTCGTTACATCACTGGACCACCAGGACCTCAAGGACCAAGGGGTCAGAAAGGAGAGCGTGGAGATCCAGGTCACGTTCAGGGCTACGCACAGAGTCAGAGCTACACTCACGGTGACTCTCGCCAAACCTCTGACCAAAGAGCGTTCATCAGCAGGCTCACTGAGAATCTGGACTACTCCAATGTCGCTCTGAAGGTCACCGACTACATCAAGAGTGAGTGGAACATTATGATATTTGTGATTTGCAAACAGCCGAAGGTATATGTAGAAAAAGTAAACATAAATATCTGAAGCAGTGTAAAGTAAAGTAAACATAAATATCTGAAGCAGTGTTTGTTATATGACAGTATCATTAAAGAGTATCGATCTCCCTGCATAGATCAAGGGTTGTTGCAGGAATATCGTATCGATGGCAATTCTAAAACCAATGTGAGAGCCATTCAGGGCCCACCCGGTCCCCCCGGTCCTCCAGGACCACCTGGGTACAGCCGCGTCATCGGTTCCTACGGCAACATCACAGCTGATCTCATGGACTTCTTCAGAAGTGAGTAGTATAGCCCATGAAGACGACATGGCTTCATTAAAAAGCATGGGCAAACGTGGTGTTCACTCATCTTTGTTTTTGCTTGTGTACAGTCCATGGCACCATCCCTGGACCCCCAGGAAGCGCCGGACCAAAGGGAGACAGAGGGTACCCAGGACCCAGAGGAGAAAAGGGTAGGGATTCAAGGCTCTGTTTCAGGATCTGAATCTAAGAGTTATGTCTGGTAGTTATCTCTGACTTTTTATTTTCCATTTGCAGGTGACCCTGGGCAGCCAGGTTTACCAGGATTACCAGGGGCGTACACCATCCAGATTCCACACGGAGTGCAGAAGAGAGACTCAGGTAACACCGTCTGCACGCAGCCGATGCACACAAACACCAGCCCGTCACCGATACTAACCACAACTTTGTGTCCGCTTCAGGCACCGAGTTGAATGTCCGTCACAGACGCCATCATCGTCAGGCCGGCGGAGCTTAAATGGTTCACGTACTACTGGATGATATCAGATTTACTTTTTTTTTTCTTAGGTTTCTACCATAGCAATGCAATAAGTTGATATAGTTCTCATCTGCAGAACAATAACAAGAACAATCTTTGAAAAATCATGTGGCCAAAAAAAAAAAACCAGCAGTCTTTTTAAACACTTTAGTAGAGATAAGGCTTAGCTGCCGGTCAGTATTATTGTCAGACAGGCATTTTTTGGGGGTGTGTATAAAGTTTACTGTGCTTTTTTAGAGGCTGGCTTTGAAATGTTTTTGCCGGGGCTGCAGAGTTTCAGAGCGTCTGTTTCTCTTAATGAACAATCGTGTTTTTAAACTGAACATTTTCCACTGCTTGTGTGACTTCAGTATCTGGTGTATTTTTTTTTTATCATTACAGTTGTATTATTATTTCTTCACAAGGGTTATATTGTACTGAGGACTATATTCTGCAGCGTGTTTTATTGATTTGAACAGTAACAGTACTTTCTTTGTATTATCTACATTACTCAAGCCAAAATCCTGCCATTGCAATCCCATTTAATCTCATACAAATAACAAAATAGTATACACTTTTATATTGTAAAAAACAAAAAACAAATATGATTTTAAGAAGTGGACTCCCAATTTGAGTGAAGGTCATTTGTTCAGCACATTTATTTGTGGTCAGTGTCGGTTGGCATACTTGAATGGTTTTTTTAAAAAAAAAATGAATGAGTGAATCCCATTGTTGACCTGGTTTAAGACATAATCCCTTCGATTTTTGTACAAGACATTTAAGTGTTTGAAAAGATTAAATTATAAATGTTTCCAGATTATGTTTTTAATAATCGATCCTTCTCACGTTTGATTGCTACAGTTAAAAGCAAGTTCAAATAAATATATTTTTTAGAAGTGTGAGTCTTAATGTTTCGTCCTAAAAGTATCATCAGGATAATAATGAAAAAACTGTCCGAGTAAAGTCGATATTTTATTTACAATGTCAATTTGTGAAGACATTTTTAATACATTTAATTTGACATTAGAAATGCATATGCTAACAATGTTCATTGTTAGAAAATGACAACGTAAAGACACTTTAAATGCTGTAACTTAACAAAAATATAATAATAAAAAACCCCAACCATTTGGAATCTATGGTTTCCTTATCAGAACAGAACTCATCCATGCAACGCTGCCTCCACTTCAAGGAGTGACGACAGCATGAAAATATCAGAGTAAAGAAACTATTTAAAACATTTAATAATTAATTTTTTTAAGAGATGATCAAATGTTTTAAAATTTTAAGAAGCAGAGTTTTTACTAAGCTTATGCGAGCTTCAGCTTACCGCTATGTTAATGTGATAACGATATGATAACGTTTCCCTTAGTGACGGACTCTCGCCTGCCATTGGATGATGGCTGGTGCTGAACAGGAAATGGATTTTGATTGCTAAGCAGAGACCACATGTGGAGCCGAGGACACAGAACGAGAAGGAAATCCTTGGACATAGATCAGCGATCTTTTTGTTTTCAAATGCAAACGATTTAATAACTTTATCGTGCAGAATGTGCCTGCCCCGGCGGACGGAGCTGTCGCTGTCGAAACCTCCACATCAAACCTGCGAACACATGTGGCGGTGAGTACAGTATCTGTGCTTGTGTGTGTGCATCCCAAACGCCATGTTTATTGTTTGTATAAAACCTTCCTCTGTTCATCGAAATGTGACTTAACGATATCGATTGTCGCTTTGCGTCAATCCTGATAGTTAACGTTTCAGAGTAGAGCAGTACCGTAGCATCTCTAAAGAAGTCATCTTATTTCCTGTATATTTGACCAACTCCTGGGTTGTTGTAGCCGAAACTATGAGCTTTGGATTGGCAGTGATCGGCTATTAAAATGACAGCTAGATTGTGCATGCTAAGTTTGCAGGAATTTTCAGTAAATTTGACATTAAAATTATGAAAAAATATTATGATTAAATATAGATGGAGGTACCATATTTTGACATTCAGAAAATGTTTTTTTCTGAATATGTCATTTCCGGGAGTTTTTAGCAAATTATTCACTTGACAGATTGTTTTGGGGCATAAACTTGCATTTAGATGCATTTCTAGGACTTTTTACTATTTTGCATTCTTTTCGTGATAGTAAGACTATAGCTTTACTTGTTTATGGTGATATTTTGATATGTTCAGATATGTTTTTTGGAGTTTTAAGCAAAAGTTATTCACTTGACAGCATGTTTTAGAGCATAAACCTGCATTTAGAGGCATTTCTGGGACTTTTTACTATTTTGCATTTTTTCATGATAGTACGACTATAGCCTTACTTGTTTATGGTGATATTTTGACATATTCAGAAAATTTTAAGGCATTTCTGGGACTTTT